AGTTAGCCCAAGATCGGGCGCGGCAAGCATATTTAGGTAGGGTCTTATTACAGCTCAAGTGATCGTAAGAACAAGGTGATCAAGTGGTCAGAAAAAAGGGGATCAAGTATACTCATTTGGGCAAAGCGAACTCACGTAAAGTCAGAGCGACTTTGAGAGAGCGCTACTAGTAATCGTTAGTTGTGTGAAGAATTTCCACGCGACCACACCCCACATATCATCAACTCGACCAAGACAGACATTGACCTCAAGCCACCTAGAAGAGTCCAACCGCCCGCCGACGATTAGACAAGGTGATAAGGAACAAATTAAGACACATGGTCCAGGGAACCCCCTCCGTTAGAAGGTCGTTCGGGCTCCAGTTGAAAGCTAAGATCGCTTCACAAAATGAGCGAATCCCACTCCGCCACAAAAGCATAGATCAGTTATAGATTCGAAGCTACACGAGGATGGGGCAGCTAGAAAAATTATGCAAAAAATCAGATTCGGAATGGTAAGATGAAAGCCTCAGAGAATATCACAGGTTTCATATCTATAATCACGAGATGAAAGCTCTAAAACATTCTAAACAACCAGAAAGATTGGTATTGGCATGACAGCAATTCACACAACAACAACATCGCAGTTTGATGTTGTACTCAGTCGTCACATAACTTAAAAGCTATTTACATTCCACACCCTTGATTCCCCCGCCCTATGTAAGCAATGTAAAATACCACAAAAGAAGCTCTTTAACTCATACTGCATATTCTTCGTAGCATCCACATCAACCCGATCGACAATTCTCTTTATTTCTAACACGCTTTTAGTACCGACTAGCATTAGCCGAAAAAAGCAGCGGAATTCAGCATTCTGCAGATAGATTTTATTAACATGGACTCCTAGACGTCTAATCACGAGCACACGCCTTAATTTGCGCATAAGGAGAAGCTCGAGACGAATATTGATGGAAAGAAAAACATCAAAGTACCGCGTTGATGGTTTATCAATTTTTCCTTCAACTTATTCAGTACAGTGTGCAGTAATATTCAAGATGCACCGAGCCGATAGAAAAATGAGTCGCATTTTACACACTTTCAATGACACAATTTTGACTTTGCCTTTTTTGTTCTTACCAATTTAGAGCGCGTGGAAACTAAATCGAAAGGCTTAAAGTAAGGTGTTAAAAATGAGTGCAAGCTCACGTTGAAGATTGTGTACCTGTGCTTTTAATTAAATGTGATGAACAAATAAAAGCAGCAGAAATTCCGCTGGAAATACCACTAGGTGCGTCCAAGCGACACATACTATGGCAGTGAGGGAGTCAAAAGAGACCCATGGCTGGCAAATGGACCTGCTGGAACTAATGAGTCAGAGTTAAGAGCAGTAGATACACGCCTTATTTCCAGATGCTTGTTTAATTACTCGCTTGATTGGCAACTTACATTCAGGTCCTCGACTTGTTCCTCATTTGCACAGCTTTGCATGAGAATTTTAGTGCACATTTTTTCTACGAACGAGCGAGAACCCATGAGGATGGACCGTTTATTAAACCGCATGCTTGCCGTCTTTACCTATCGTACTTGCGGCTGAGGGAAAATTGGTGCCCATGCGAGACTAGTATTTTCGGATTAGGCAACCAGCAGAAATAACATAAGCATTAAGACAAGTCTCGTTGATTGAAGAAGATAACGAAGTTGTTGTTATGGTCATGGGTTTAAGAGGATCACGTCAGCCGACAAGAGACATAGCTATTTGGAAACTAGCGAGAGTGGCGAAAGCGGTAAAGGAAGGCACAAAGATGACGTTACGTGCAGTGAAAGTAGTACCTGGCGACTGGGGCCACTGAAGACTCAATAGATGAGGTTTTATATAAGCAATTAACGAGCAGTTTCAACAAAGTTTGCGTGTGGTGGGGGAATAGGTGGGGATTGTTAAAGCTTCTGGATTTCGTATCACATGGAAAAATTGACGGTATAAGATAGGGGGCATTTGAGCTCGCCCTTTAATTCAGAGTATTTTAATTAAAGTACTGACACATGATTTAATTTAAACAATCTTTGTTTAGTTCTAAAGGCATATAAGTTTTACAGAACATAAATGTCTGTATGAACCTATGTCTCGAAGATGAAATTGTTCTATGTTGTTATAATCAATGCAAACAAGCATAACATTCAAAACTTGAAACAAGCAAAACTATAGTTTAATTGCAAGTATAAGAATGAACCACATGCTATTTAAAATGTTACACTGAAAGAAATGATATTTACAAACGTTCAATGCATGGTCTATGTATTTAAATCCGTATGGCTTGGAGAGAAAACAAAGCTAAAATTATAAACTCCTACTAAGGATTATACTCCGGCCCGTAGAACGAGCTCTTGTCATACCGAGTGTCCAAATTACCAACTTATTTCCCGGGAGGGGGCGGCTTCATTGGTTTCAGGTTCTTGGGCACTCGAAACCCGGTTTTACGTGGTTGGCTTGTAGCAGAGTTGGGAGACCAAAAGTAGTTGGATTAGAAGCATTGTGGTTTTTACACTCAAATCAACACAATCCTTTACTAAAAATATATTCCTGTACGTACAACCTATCGATTTGATACGTTTTTGGGTTTACTACTTCACAATTACGAATGTTTTGTGCTAAGTAGACATATTCTTAATAAGTTGTTCCATGTCGAGAATTTCTGGCCAACACGGTCAACCTAAACTCTTCCACCTTTCGTAGCGATAACCTTAGATTTTCAAACTAGTAAAGTCGTTTGTACGAGCATGGTATGACAGCCAAATATAGAACTTGTGATAGAGCGACAAAAGCAAATCCAAAGCTTTTCTTTTTTCCTTTCAGATTAACAAAAACTAGGTCCAATCTCTACCCCGGATCTTACGCATGGCCATGACGTAACAATCGGAACGGTGATCGTCCGAATTTGTCCTAATCATCAGCATATAAGTTAGATGCTAAATTGGATTTCATTTCTTCTGTTTTAAATTTATTTAAAGTGATAGACCAATGTAGTTGCACCACGTAACAGCAAGAAGATAGGCGTGTCTGTGAGGGCTTTTCCGTTCACCACACGATAAACCGGACCACGCTCCTGCATCCCTTTGCGACCCGATGCCCTGCCAAAATATTAAATTCACCTGTGCCCCATCCGCAGAATATTATGACTTCTCCAAGCTCGTAAACTTACTATAGTCATTGAGTATGCTCGGGACGACCTCTTAACAATAATACGCGTGATAGGGTTACTATTTTTGTTCAGTGTTTCTACAGTTTATCAATCGACTTCAGTAATTTCAGCAAATTGTCTCACAGCGTCCATAATTTTCCCTAAAAAAACTCAACACATATAGTTGCCGTTGATTGAGTCATCAGGATCGCTTGCTAGGACTTACGAACTACCCCGTATTTACTGTACTATCGTGAACTTATAAATTAAGCTTTAAGAGAGTCACTAAGCCTTCGAAAAAAGACGGTAATTGACACATATCTCCTACTAAACAAATTACTGGCCCCTATATCCTGGGAGGAAGGTGCTTTTGCCGCTGCGCGCTCTACGGGGGGGGCGGCGAAGCATGAAAACAGTAAGGGAGCAACAAATACGACATTTCGAGGTGTAAGGCACATCATAACGACCATCCCGCCACACACGTAAGTTTCTGCTGTTCTTTATCCACCCTCAAGTCACTAACTCGTTCGCCAGACACAATCTACGGTCTCAAGAATAGGCCTCGCTTAGAACGTTATGCCGTCCGGTGGGTCCGAATCCAGTGAAACATGCTAGGGAAAAGTCAATATGGCCACTCGGGACTGGTTGAAGTGGTAACTTACCTCCCTTGTAGACGTCCTCTACACCCTACACGAACCTCTAGCTTGGCCCACATTCACACGTGCGTTTCTTAGAGCCGACCCCCGTGACGCCCGATGTATCGAGCCAGCAGAATGAGCCAGTGTGGAGATAATCAAGGGAGAATTTATAGATTGCCAATAACCGCCACATATCAAAGACTTGAAAAAAGTAATACGAATAGATAGTCTAATCCTCTTTCAATTTTTATACAACGAGCATTGGACCATGGTGTGTGACATCAGGCGCACTACTGTGACATGCTATCGCCAGCTAGATTGATTGCACTCGACATGAGCGGTTGGACTGCATGCGATCGGCTGCGGCCAATCCTTCGGCGACTACGCCATCCAAATTCCTTAAGCCTCCCAAGCTGTGGGGTCTTTTTTACCAAGAAATTCCTGTTAATATTTGACGCTTCCTTTATAGCTATGCAGGACACATTTCTTAAGTAATTGCTAATGTTCTTGTTGCGGCTTCGACTTTTCACGCTCCCACCGGTATACGCCGCCGGCAACTGAGTAAAATAGTCATTTTAGATCGATTTCTATTTCATTTCTGATAAATTTTCTTTTTTTAAATAGAATACGTTCAATATCCTGCGTTTGGTGTGGGCGTCCTCACGCTTGTAGGCTAGTATTTGAAATTGTGGCTATCCACTTGTTTGGGACAGTCGCTTATTTTGAGTCCCTTAAAACGTAGTGATACTAAGGTACGACCGTGGACCGCCCTAGCGGTCATCGGGACATATGCGGAAGCAGCTCTCGCATCAGATACCGGTGATGGAAGTACTTATGATAGTCGAACCTGCAATTTGAAAACCATACAAGGGTAGTCAAATATAAATTCAGTGCGGTCGCTGCAGATTCAGAATCAAGGTTTTTCCGACTCAAAGAAGGCCATGCCCCAAAGAGGCGTCTGCTGTCACAGTCAGATTCAACTAAGCCAAGCCTATGACAAGAGCACGCGAACTTATGTGAGGATCCTAGGAGAGTTGCAGTGAACTCTGCGTTCACAGCGCTTAGGTAGCGTGTTGTGGTTTGAAGAAAGTGTAAGTAAGGCTACTGCCTACAGCTACTGCTGCTTTCTTGCTGTTGCGCTGGATGATGATGGCTGTCTACGTGTTGCAATTCTAGCGCTAAGGTAGTGTCAGAAGACCAAACTGTGTCTAGGGATCTGCATTATAACACGAGGCACGTTGCGGCTCAAACGTCTCTTTAAGCCGAGACTTCAAGATCTCTAACGACTCAAACACGTTTGGGTCGTGAAGCTTGAGCCCTAAGGCTTTAGTCTTTGCTCGTCCTGTCAAATGTGACAGGGCAAAGGTGACTTGCATCTCGTCACCTTCGATGTGACGGGCCCTGATGGTGTCGTCTAACTCGACGGACCATCTCAAAAGGGAATCTTCATCGGTTCCCTTGTACCTTGAGATATCTATCTTCAAGGTTCCGGGTCGACGCATGTGCGTCGGCCATCCCATCGACTGATGAGAGTCTTGCTGTTGTAGCAAGGCTATCTTCTGTCGTTTGACGACAAGTTCCCATTGCAGGAACTTGTTGATGGCAGCATGTTGCCGGTCTCTGTTTAGAGACTCCAACATGCCATTGATGGCAGGCTCGTTCATGAGCACACTCATGCGGCCGACTACCTCCCATTTTAAGTCACTCAGGTGGGAGTAGCCTTCACGTGTGACGTGAAAGCCGTCGTCTTCTACGTCCAACATGTTCACGTTAGACGGAAACCAAGTAGTCGTTGAACGGACTTCGAAGTGCTACCAGGTGTAACGGAGCACCCTTTGTTTGGGGTGCCGTGAAACTTCACGTACACTCGAACGTGTAGAGGAATCTAATCTACTTAACAACTAGTTTGAGTAAATGGTAAAAAGAGGACTTTATTTAATAGAATTAAGCTATCGATGCAACTTCAGTCTATACCTAACTATGCTAAACTACGTCGTCAAATGACGACAACCTGCTTAACAATCATTACGCGCGTCTAGCAGCAATTGGTGGTGATCTATGGTTGATATGTCTTGGATTAAACAATCTGCGAGCAGCACATGCGTATTGTCTAAAGAGGATAATGTTCCCTCAATATTATCCATCTTGGATAATGTAACGGGGCTAGAACAGCCCTACTAACTTACACTATCGATGCTTAGGAAGCCTGGACTCAAGTTTAAGGTATCAAGGATTTTAACTCTGTTTTTACTTTTGTCTTTTATCAACTAAGTACGAATTGTTCCGTTGGACTCACGGGAATTATTCAATCTACGGGTCTGTATCTTACTGGATAAGAATGGGACCAAGCCCATTAAAAAGGTAAAATATACGACGTGCTACTTTCGCTACCTCGTAAGTAGCTCCCCTACTCAGGTAACATGAAAACTTAATTGAAACTACTTATGTAACGGGGTGGCCCATTACAGATAATACTGGCAGGGATTTGCCACGCTTGACAATCTCCCTATTGACGCCGTTTGGTGTCAATGTCATGTAAGAAGCTACCCCGTTACACTTACCGACACAGCCACGGGTACAAAGCTGCAACCTCTTTCTATCTTGAAAGGCACGAAAAATCGGTTCATTAGAGTGGCGCAGTTTACGTTGCACCTCAAGAGCGTGCCTAATCGAACAGTAGGATTTCAATTATGTAAATCGACTCAATGTTTCCAGCGCTTCTAAACTTCTGCGAAGGCAAAGGGATCGTGTGGGATCGATGCGAGAACACACACAGCGGAGGCCTTAAAGGCGAAGTGCAACAGCAAGAAGGTCGACGTAATGGCTATTTCTGGAATTCTTACGCTGTACCTGCAGACAGGTGGCATCGGGAAATGCTAGTCGCTTTAAAGATTGTCTATCCAGCGTGATTTACGACTGGAAGAGATCTAATCGGGTGCATGCACCAAGAACGGATCCGCGGCCACTGAGCGTGGAGGAGGTGGTGGTGGCTTTTATCAGCAATTTGTGAAAAGCTGTCTTTAACGATGTTGTACGCAAGACAATTGCCGCATCTAGATTCACTGTTGACTACCGCGACTGGCACATTGCTAAGAACGACGTTCACGGTAAACTTTTTAAAAGTCTGTGGGTGCGTGCTGACGAAGAAGCCTCCGATGATGCAGATGATGCACATATAGAAGGTGAGTTTGACGATCCAGTCGTTGAAACGGGCCAATTCATTTTGTATTTGCAGCACTTTTCTTAGGTGCATCGCATTAAATCTAAATTAAGGTATTTATGTGGCGGTTACAGGCCCCCCCCCGTGGGGTCTTATCTGTGTGATCGCTGCTGGGTTTAAAACCGGCCTAGTGTGAGCGACAACCTGCTACTCTACTCCACCACCGCCTTCATTTACCATCCAAAAGTTTTTTAATGCATGTGAATTATAAGTGTAATTTACCTAGAATAACAACTTTTCTGCAAATTAAAGCAAAATGAGGGAATCGAACACGGGACATCATTCGGTGGAACCCGTTATTGTATCGGCACGTTTGATCCCTTTATCCGCAGGTGTCTACCGCGGATTAAGTGCTAATGCTCACCGCCGCCGAAGTTCTCGTGCTACAGAACAACGCGTCCAAAGGAAACAGATAATTACTAGAAGACGCTAAATCTAAAACGACAGGACCAGTCCAACCATCACGTCAAACAGTACGTCACTACCAGCCTAGCATGTGGATTTAACACGCAGGTCGCACTATCTGTCTGGCGTGGACGCGAGCGCCTTTCGAAAAAAATCTAGCGTTATATTCATCAAGCGTGTTTTCATTTAGCAGCATTCTACTACTTAATTTTGTGTTCAATGGATATAGCAGCCACCGATTAAACATGTGACTAAAGTTGTGGAATGGAAACGACAGCCGCATACCGCTTTCGTGCTGTCCTCTTTACTTCGCTACGTGCAGTGGATGCTTCCCTTTAGAATGTGAAAAAGATTTACTTGGAGTCTCACGAGGTTGCTAAAACTTGAAACGTAATTTCGGATTTTGCGATAGGATCTGCACGAACATTTTTTTAAGACCATGCTGATGATCGACACTATGCAGACCCCGGCATTATTTTTCTGTGATGCTCCAAGGCAAATCCAAGTAAGCCTGCTGTAAATGAGAGCCGACGCATTAACCTGATATGAACCAAAACACGGCTTCTGTATTACGCAATGATCTCTCTGTAGATGTACGTCACTTCCCCCTCAGGCCATAAATAATTGTCTAGCGTTGCCTCCTGAAACATACGGGGGTGATTAAAATGATTTAAGCATATGCTTAGGCACTAGCGCTTCCTGACATCAACAACTAATGAAAGCGAGTGCAACGCTCTAACAAGCGATCACAAGCACAATGACGTTTTAACGGATGAGCTTTCAATTACAAACTTCAAAAATTGCGTGCAACAATAATTTAACGGGCCAACACTGGACGAGACTACGGCCTGGAGGGGATTGAAAGCAGTACTGATAAACTATCTAGCAGGTACTGAAGCATCTGATACACACATCTTTTTTGCCTTATCGGCGTGCTATGCGGGATTGTCGACACATATGGACAAACAATGTGGGGCAGGTTAAACAATCCGAGCAATGAAATTATAAAAAAAAGGTTAATGAGTTAGAAATTCTAAGAGTGGATAGCAAAAGCTCCATCTGACAAGGGAAACAAAATATGCAACGATAAAATGTAGTTCGAAGTACGAGTGATGAAGTGGAATAACGCTTTGGTTGCAGACATCTTTAGCGGTAAAGCGTCCATTCCGTCGATCTGGCTTTTTGCTAATCTAATTTTTTTAAACAACCAGTTTACAAAAATAGAGATCAGCAGACTTGAGGCGTGAATGTTTTTCTCAGCTTGCCCCGTATCGTATCTGTGCTGTTGCGGGCTTGTTTTAGGTTATTCACAAATATAGTGCGTAATGATACCTAGCGCGCAGGACCGCACATGCTAATTAATCTTGATAGCATAGTGTTTTTGCTTCCTCGAGAAGTTAATTGTGTAGTCGCCACCAAATGCTTAAGCATTGATGTACATTGGCATTTGTGTAAAACGAGACGCACGTTTATCGTTTGTGAAATAACGACATACACCGCGAGACGTCTTCCCAGCGCATACACAAAGAAAAGGAAGCTTTGTGCTAACTTTGTTTCGGTCCGCTGAGAGCACTACCCTTTTTTTGTCCGCATCCATCTCGTGCTATTATTAGAAATTTCTTACGAAATCTAAAAAAAATTGCTCAACGACTTCGCTATTCCTGCCTTAAACATTAATTAAATTCATAATGGGGACTAAGAATTATGTTTAGTGTGACGCAAACTCGTTGAGTACGACTATGCATTGCCCAGAAAATTCTGCCGCTTATTGGTGGTCGCTGTCGGTATCGTTGCCGTCTTTCAATTTGCTGCTTATGTCTCTTTTTCCATCGTTGCGGTTGGCGTTCTCCTGATTGTGGAAGTGTGTTGGGGTAGTTGGATGTAAAAGCCGAAGTGAATATATCTAAGGTCCTTAGTTCACTACCCTTAGCTAAGTCTAAGCCTTAATGTAACGACATCCTGTGATCTCATCATGTAACCGCGATCCATAACCTTCTTCCGTAATAACCACCATGAAACACCCTGACACAGAAATCATCACCATGAACCCAACATGAAACGACTTCACGAAGCGGCGTATTCTCTACACTCCCACTCGCCGCTACTGCTTGGTTTCTTTGCACTGGATACTGTTTGCATCGCGCAGGAACTTGAACGTCTTGGATCCTAGCGCCTTGGTCAGTATGTCGGCCAATTGATGTTTGGTGTCCACATACGCTACCGCAACAGGTATTGTTCCGTTTATGAGAGAGAAGTTCAGCATCCATGGCTTCACGCCACTGTGTTGAATCTTCACTGGCAATTGCCTGAGCGTATGTTGTAGGAAGATCCACTGTGTCAATGCTTGCTGCGTACGCGAGGACGGCTTCAGCAATAAGGCCGTCTTCATCGATCCTGGCACGCTTCGGATAGGACGGTCCATCTCTTCCTTCCGACTTCCGTTCTTCCTCTGCGTCCGTTCCCTCTTCAAGAAGGAAGACTGGTTCCCGGGAACTTCTAAAACGGTCTCTAGGGGTATGGAACACCACTTGATCGTCCTCGAAGATAGTCGGTGGTCCACGGTACGGTTCCAACTCAAATCCAGTGGTAGCTGACCGTTCTTGTGGCATCAGCAGCGGCGGTATAGCGTCCTGTATCGGTTGCATGCTCTCCATCTCTACATCCGGTGCTTCGTTCTCAACGCCTTCCATGGGTTCTGCTTCGACGGGTTGAAGTTCCACTGGTGCGAGCGTGACTTCATCATCGGCGTCTGTGCTAACATGAATAACTGTTTCAATCTGAGCAGGTAGTGTATCGTAAATACCATCTACCTCACGCTCGTCCAATTTCACCGAGCGAGAAACTTTGACCTTGGAAGCGTCCAAGTCATAGACACGGTAACCCTTGACGTTTTCTGGGTATCCGAGCAGCAGACATCTAAAGCTCTTAGGTTCAAGCTTCGTCCTCTTCGCTTCGTCAATGTGAGCGTACCCGCGAGAACCAAATACGCGTAGGTGATCTAGCGTAGGTTTCACTTTGAAACCTAGCTCAAACGGTGTTACGGTTGCGTTGTGCGTGTTCGTGGAACGGTTGATTAGATATACCGCAGTACTAACTGCTTCAGCCCACCACTCCATTGGAACGCCCTTGTAGTATAGCATACTTCGAGATCTCTCCATGATAGTTCGGTTCATCCGTTCTGCCACTCCATTCTGCTGAGGGCTATACGGGACAGTCCGTTGGTGCACGATACCGTTCAGCATACATATCTTCGTCATCTCTTGGTTGATAAACTCCGTTCCGTTATCCGATCGTAAACACTTCATGCGCTCTCCCCATTGATTCTCATAGAAAGTCATGAACTCTCTAAGCTTAATGGCCACCTCGCTCTTCTTTTTCAAGAAATAGGCCACAACGTAGCGCGAGTAGTCGTCCACGAACGTCAGGACATGCTTGGCACCACCTTTCGAAGGATTATTCATTGGTCCCATCATATCCGTGTGGACGAGCTCAAGAACGCGCGACGTCTTCGAGCTGGAACAATGCGGAAATTTAGCCACCGTTTGCTTCCCCTTCATGCATCCGCCGCACAAAGACTGGGGCGGTTGACCAACAGCCGGAATACCGTTCGTGGCATGCCTTGTCTTATCCAGAGCATCCTGGTTGGGATGCCCCAGGCGAGCGTGCCAAAGCTCCCACTTGCTGTCAGCCCCGGCGTACTGGACGAACCGAGCTTCTTCTTGTTCACAGTCTAACATGTAAGCCTTGCCGACCTTCTTACCCTTCGCAATTGCGCTAGCCGCTCCCCATATAACACATGAGGAACGCTGAAACTCCACGTTCAGTCCACGATCCGCGAGCTTCCCCACTGACAACAGACGCCGACCGAGGCCCGGTATGTGAAGAACTTCAACCGTCTTAATCCGTTTACCGTCCAGTCCAAGCAAGCGTACCGTACCACGTCCAGTGACCTGCAGCTTCTTTCCGTCAGCGATTGTTACTTCGATGCCACCATTCACGTTCTCATACTCGAACAGATCGGAACGGTGCGGGGTCATGTGGGCGGTCGCGCCGCTGTCGATCAACCATCCGTTTACACGTTCTGTGCTCACAACAAATACCGCACCGCCGTCTGTTGTTCCCTCTTGACAGTCCCGCTTCATGTGCCCAACTTTGTTGCACTTGAAACACTTGCCTTGGAAACCACTAGAGTTCTTCTTCTGATCGCTCCACTTGCGACCACTCCTCTTGTTGCCCTTGAAACGTCCAGCGTTGACCTTAAATGCTCGTTCCGAAGTCGCGTCTTTCTTCTCCAACCGTTCACACTCCTTCAACAGCTTCTCTTTCACCTCGATGAGCGTGATGTCCTTGACGTTCTCGATGATCGACGATATCAGCTCGTATTCGGCTGGAAGGCTGCTCAGCAGCACTACTAGCTGCCGTGCCTCGTCGACGGGCTCTCCAAGCGTCTGAAGACCGACAACGAGCTTGTCGAAAGCGTCCAAATGCTTTGCCATGGCCGTTCCAGCATCCATCTTGAATTCGTGGAGGCGCCGTGTCATCGTGACCCGATTGTGGAGTGTAGTGCGATTGTAGAACTCCCTAAGTGTTACCCACGCTTGAATAGCACGCGTCGACGAACGGATCTTTGTCTGGTGTTGTAGTTCCACACCCTGCGCGATGATGCCGAGAGCCTTTGCGTCATTTACTAACCAAGCTTCCGTTATCTCACTCTCCGCCTTGACCACCTCCACGTGCGCCAGCAGTCCTTTTCTGGCGAGCGACATCCTCATATTGAACTCCCAATGGAAATAATTTCCACTTCCTAGGAGGACTTCGGCGCGCTTGGTACTCATCATGTGCGATCCGTGCGAGGCGAGGCGTTCTTGGTCTTGACGCCGCTGTCCGAGTTGCGGCTGTTAACCTGTTGGGGTAGTTGGATGTAAAAGCCGAAGTGAATATATTTAAGGTCCTTAGTTCACTACCCTTAGCTAAGTCTAAGCCTTAATGTAACGACATCCTGTGATCTCATCATGTAACCGCGATCCATAACCTTCTTCCGTAATAACCACCATGAAACACCCTGATACAGAGATCATCACCATGAACTCAACATGAAACGACTGCACGAAGCGGCGTATTCTCAACAAAATTGCATTTTGATGTATCTGCATACAGCTTGTTTGTGCGCATGCACTCGAGCACTGCTCGTAAATGGTTAATGTGATTGTCCACATCTTATCTGCCATGGTCTGCACGGCTATGGAAAAAGATGTCGTCAAAATAGCAATATGCATATCCTCGGTGAGGTCGGAACAATTGCGTCACAAGACAATTGAATGTAGCCGGGGTATTAGACAGTCTTTGAGGCATAACAAGCCACTCCCAAAGCGTACCGCTTGGATTACTTACCGCTGTGATCGGAACATCGCTCGCTCGTATAAGCAATTTAACACACCCTTCGACCAAGTCGAGTGCAATAAACATGGTATAACTTACTATAGCGTTCTGAAGAACATCCTTTCTAGGGATAGGCGTATATACTGGTATATTGGCTGCGCAAAGCTAATTGTGAGCATGCACAAAATGCCACTTGCCATTTGTATGTCTGACACAAACCGTCGGTGTCAAGGGCGAGACTTTCTCTCCGCACGCCAGCGACGTGCTTTGCACGAAAGAACATTTCAATGACTTCACAATGCTCCTTTAGCATAGATCATTGCCGTGTTACAAAGTACTTGATTTCTAGAACCAGGTCAATTTCATGACGTACGCCTCGATTACAAGGCAGAATGGAAGGTGGATGTTGACACATCACACCCTGAAACTCCTCAAATTAGGAGTTTAAAACGGGTCCTTGGGATCTTTCAAGATCGATGACCCACTTCGAGCAATCAGTGCCGCCTTTATGTCTTTTAAGACATTCTCTTCAAGAAGGGAACACGAGTTCAACTCACTATCGGATCTATCGACTATCACTTCAGATAAGTCACCGACTTTAAGGTCAGGATAAACTCATCGACATACATTTCGTCTAGCTCTAACAGATTATTCACTGAGGGTAGAGTCTTAAAACTCGCTGACCCATCAACATCACCAGTCACTCCTCTAACGAGTGTATGTAGCTGCTCGCTAGTATCAATACGTGACGCAACAGATGCTTTGTATTTTATAACATCACTCTGGTGTCGCTGTCGTCTCTGTGACAAAACTGAACGTCTTAATGAGACTGGAAACCCTCGCTCCCAAGGTTAATATCATCATCATCCTTAACTTGCCCTGTACAAGGGCCGGTGTCATTACCTAAACTCGGGACATTAGTTCCCATACGATTAATATGACCATCAACCTTGAGTTGCTCAGAATCATAGTCGACGTCAGTGCCAACAACCGGGTTATACCGTCCGAAGGTGACGAACTGCGTCAACCTTAGTTTTCCTGGTACCAGGTATGATGTGATTGCCGATATCTTGAGCTACTGTGAGCTTAAGGTGGAGAACTGCTTAAACCTTGATTTGATTAACATCAGATCCGATGTTATTTCCGGAATCTGGTGATGAGTCACTTCTAGCGACATCATCACCTGTGAACACTGACGTACCACTTCTCGTTAAACAAATGGGCGTCGCCCTCGATGACATGGCATTTCACCAACAATGTCTTGACTGACATTCAGTGTGTCGCAATCACGGCCAACATCACTCAGTGGGTACTTACGTGCTGCTCCACGCTCAACAGATGAGTCCAACCCATGATTACTCGGCTCTAGGCCAACAAAGCATCCAGCATTTAGTGATTCGTTATCCCAACGATTAACAATCGACGGAGTACGTGCCGTATCACAAAAGTTCATTGAGATTGGCTCGCATCTACCGTTTTTTGACATCGTCCAACTCAACGAGCTCGTCAATTCTGATGTCCAGCACACTGACCGTCTCAGTCCGTGGCTCGCGCCAATTGCGCTTCTGCTTCCTAGCAGGGATTGGCCCATGGCTCTTCAAAGCTCCGCTAGGAACAGTGTTAGTTGCGTCTCAGTTTTTTGACCTCCAATCAATACATGGCTTATGGCGTTTTAGCCAAGCCAGACCAGTGATGAGGTAATACTTTTCATCCAAGTCAAGGACTAGACAGCGTTCATTACTGTCAAAGTATATAAACTTCACAAGAACTTTAGGCATGGTGACTAACGCACCTGTCGCCAATCGAACAGTCTTAATCTCACACTTTTGCGCTTTCAGCGCCTCAGCATACTGCTGGAATTTTCCAGGGAACAATGTAGGACTTAATTTGCCCATGCCCCGGAGTCGGTCAATATCGACCATGGCTTATTAAAGCCCTTCGCCGTTGCTTTCGCAACTATCAAGCCTGGCTTGTACGCATGCTTTGTGACATTGCTCAAGAAGCCACTTAGGGTAGGCCCTGTTCTGTTTGCCTCCAAGAGGTACAACAAAGCCTAAATCCTCTCTTGCTGGGCGCCCTGCGCCCATTAGTACTCGAGGTTTTCCCACGCCGTACCAACTTGATGGGAAGCTACAGGAGGTCAGCTTGAATGAGCCTGTCCGGTCCTCTCAAAGGCCAATTGGGACGAATGTGTTAGATCCTTCCCCACGTATAACACCTGCGGAAGATCGGAAGCTGGTCGACAGCGTAAAGCTAAGATTCTTCGTCTCTTTCAGCGAGACTAAAGTTCATGGGTCTGCCCGATCCGTAAGATGAGAATTTTTCGACGAGTTAGGTTGGAAACCCAGAGTCCCATAACTGGCAGCTGTAAAGTTGACCTCTGTCTTCAACGCTGTGTCCAGTGTACCCTCTGATGTCGAGGGTTGAGCAAGTGGCATTTTATGTTCTGGCAACGCCATTGCGAAGACCCTCTATAGAAATGGTAATAAAACCTTCTCAGATAATTGGGCCAAGCTGCACAGCAGCAATAAGAGTTCGCAACTCCTGGGCAAAATTAATTTTGTTGCTTTTACCGTGGCGGGTTGGCAGGAAGCGTGACTGCACGCAATATTACTAATTTATCAGGGCAAAGCCCGAGAGAGTTGCTGTTTTAGCATGTCCCAGCTGGTAAAGGTATCGTCTATCGAGGTGCCAGAAGTGAACGCCCTCTCCCTGGCTCACCAAAATTGATAGGTCCAGAATAACCTTTTGATATTCTGACCGCAGCAGGGCCGAGACGATGGCAATCTCCATCTCCCGAACCCACAAAGAAACGGTTTTTTTACCTCGTTCCCCTTAAACGTCATCACACTTGTGACCAGAGAGCGAGTCTTTGACTCAGTGTCCGATGTCGTAGCGTACCGAGTGGACCCAGCAATTACCAAGTGTTCTTGTGACTGTCCAATTAACGTGGACCCGACGTTCGAAAAGGCCTCAAGACGTGCATGAAGTGCGCCCGGGCTTTGCGCCACAATAAGATCCACTTGCTCGAGGTGTAGATTGACTAATAGTAACATTAAGTGCAGCGGAGCTACTTGGCGAATTTTAACAGAGGAAGTCTTGGACTCAAAGAGTCTCTTAATTAAAGGAAACTTAAATCGCCGTACAGTCGTTCAAGCGTACAATCTTGACAATCCCAATTCCGAAGATGTTAAGATTCTCATAATCACACACTAACTAGTCACTACTTGTTAAACAAGAGTAAACGCCTTTTCAAGGCTAACACTCCTAGCAACACACTACGCCTTGAATAGCCACTTGTTTCCAACGGTTCAAAAGGGGATCTGAACTTGATTCATTCTTTAACTACGGTAACAAAACCCTAAAAACTTGTCTGACTGACTTCTACATTGCGATCATATGACAAAAGTCTGATCCCTTATCATTGACCGAAACGGTGCGGTATTGCCGTAAGTACGTGGTACCAAGCCTAAAACCACTCAAATCCACCGGTCTTTATTTGGTGTAACAGCACCGTATTTTTATTAAATTAACGGTTCAATCACCGCCGTGTTAGCCCGTTTAACTTATTCCTGGGGAATTGTGCCGCATGTCGTAATGGCGTCACGATAATATGGCAGGCTTAGCCCTGGACCGTATCTCAATCAGAATGTTTCTACAAAATTTAAAAAGCAACGCATCTACTCAAAGTAATTTCATCGAAATAGGTTTGAAACAGGTTCGCACGAGACTATTGAAAATTTGCACTTGGTCAAGGTGGCTTTCGTATTTTAATTTTGGACTCAACGTAAGCTGAAAATCACTAGGTGGGCTTGATTGGTGGAGAGTGTAGCGGGGATAGGTTGTTCGCTATGTCTCGATCGTCTATAGACAGACGAATGTACCTCTAAGTGTGTGGTAAAGCAATTGTGACGAGTGCTAACAGTTTCGTAAGAGGTGAAATCGCAAGGATTACGAGCCTTCTTTAAGCCCGAATCAATCTTGATTGGCAAACATGGACCGAGGAAGGCTGGCTAACGATCGCCAAACTTAAGGCTCAATTGACTGATGAAAGGTGACGATCAAAGTCGAAATGTAATGACAACCGAGAATTGTCCAAGGCAAGATATCGTAGATCTTCCTACAAACGCAATCCAAGGATCGCGATTGTTCAATTTTAAGTAAATAGTTATGAAAAAAATCATGGTGTTTAAGTAATTCATTTGCGTCACGATCGAGCTACCAGGGTGTGTACTGCGCCACGGATGATACGAAATCAAATTCTTGTGGTATTTAACCGTGATCCCAACATTAGCCATCGAGATCGTGTGATCTGCAGTTCACGGTTTCATGGTCCGCGATTCGATAGTCCGCGATCTTATATTCATCGACCTGATGATTTGAGATTTATAAATCTGCCGCTGGAAAATATGCAATCTGATCAGTTGCGATCCACTGTTTCGCAATACATCTGTTTATGCACATGACAAGGACCACATAGTACAGGGAATTGATTTGTGATGGGCAGCGTGTGGCATCGGACACATAGGTAGCGTTGTTACAAGTCTTAAGTTTTTGTTGCTTAACGTTAAATAGACTTTAATGTTCTCCTTAAGACACGAGTTTTTTCTCTCCCCGACTGAACGTGTTGGCTTCCCGATGTAAGAAGAGTTCACATACTCTAAATAAGTGATGAATACCGATCAAATCTCTGAAGATCAAAACACCCTCATCATCTCCCAACTGTGATCTGATGCAGCGACGAACTAAAGTACAAGGTGCAAGATCGCGAGATGTCTCAAATTAGAGAAGGTCGAGTGGATCAAGCGTCTGTATTTCAACATAGGCGATCTCAAGGAGGTAGGTGGAGCTTGATAGAACCCCAAGAACACTGCGATCGCGTAAATATTTACATGTGATCTCTCTCGAACCCTTTACAAACTCAGTCAAATTTTCCTCGACACAATTCCACCGTAAAGATTGCAACCCGCCCTATAGACAGGTACACAAGTTGACAAGGAAACAGCTCGGGACCGGTGAACCCTCTCCGATAGTAGTTCATTTAAGGGTCTAAAGAGAAGCAAACACATGAGAAATCGAGCAACTACCAACCCACCACATTTGTGCGCGGAATCTTGGTGACCAAGGGTTTACAGCGAGTTCTAGCTCGAAGATAAGGATTCAAAGATTGGACCTTGATAGATGAATCAGCGGCAAAGGAATTGCCACAAACACAAGATTTAATTAGATTACCGGATCAGCGCAGTCTAAAGAGCTTCTAGGAATGCGAGAAAATAACATCGGAAGATCGATAGCTTAGACTGGAAGGTAAACCTTTACCTACTCATAAGACCTTTTAAGGGCTACTCCAACAAGTTTGAAGGCAAAGGAAGTAAGAACAGAACGAATGAAGAAGTAGCGCCTGGATCAAACTGACACGAATGTACTTCAAAACCGGTTAAAAACGACCAATTACTTATGCGGAGGATGACGTGAAGATGAAATGTTAGCAAGGTAGGCGTACACAGCGAAGGGCTATTACTGAAGGACGCTCAGGCATATATTGTTAAAATATCCCCTGATTCAAAGGATAAAGCCTAATTTAATCGGGACATTCAAGGTGCTGTACCAGCCTCAGTTGCAGAGTCAAGCTCTAAGAGGAATAAATGCAATTATTTAGAAGCTACGTGAGGCTGTGTTGATTGCAGAAGCAATTAGAATGTTTTATTGGTGGATTAGAGTCAGGTGAATCACGCGTTCCAAACTCTCTACGAAAATTTACATCCTACTGAGAGGTTAATCAGACTTTAGGGTTGAAGGGGACACAGGGACTGCAGACATCCCGAGAGGATATTCCAATTTTGTTGTCACAGCACGCGTCAGCGAAACTCAATTTTAAAAGGCGATGCTTGTTGATTTTTTTAGGTTATGTTCTAAGGTTTAAGTGGGGCAAAACATCCGATTAATTGGGAGGATTTGATCAGAAAAAAAAACACAATCGGCAGCAGTACGCTTTAATGAAACTGCGAACTCAATCTAAGGGCCATCGCAGTCCTGTTTCGACGGGGCTAGGAACAATTTTTACAAGAACAGCGAAAGCGAGCCGCTTAATTGATCTATCCAAGTTAAAGGACCAATGCTTTTGGTTTTGAATAGCGTACATACCAGATCTTGAAATGGAAGTTCTTGGATCGCATCACGATCGATCGTTCATCTACAATACTAAAAGATGGCGATTCCGAAGATCCGCGGTAGGTGGATTGGAGGCGTGTGTTGGTATCTGCCACAATAATTTTGCAGAATGATGTTGTAATTTAAGCGTCTACTTTTAGTTGGCTATGGTCAACCTTAAGGAATACAGCAGCAAAGACTGAGACTACAATATGGCCAGAAGCTGTAATAGCAATGTCGGCTGGCTTTCAAGGATCCAAAGCTGAAGGAAAAAAAGTGTCTAGTATATGGCTGTTTGCTAACAATATAGGTGCAGAATCGCTATAATCAGCTTAATCGATCTACCATGCGCAAATGTAAATCTTTGCTGGAATGTTTTTGGTACAGTACTTAGGGCATGGTGTATCAGTAGCTAGACGAACATACCATGTACAGACGCGTTCAGATAAGAAATTAAAAAGTTTCTACAACGCCTTTAGTCTCAGTAATGTAAGCCGAGATCGTGAACAGGGAGGAAAATTTAGCTACATCAGCTACACGTCGCGAACATGCACAATATTTTACTGCGACACTAGAAGATCGCGATTTGACAATGCAACGAACTCTACCGCGATTGACGGACGCTGAAGAGATTGTATTACAACCTACAAGCTAACTAGTGGATGTTAAATGCCAGATGAAAGAATTGATGGACTCTGGTACTTTTAGCTCGTCAACCAGTCGTGTTGCCGAATCTAATTTCGTCAAAGACAGCTCAGGTGTCACGAGCGACCCACGAAAATAGTGGAAATAGCGTACGTCCATCGAAGTCGAGTATATCGAATGGGGACGTGAATCGTCATCGAGTTTGTGTGACAGCTATTTCCAATGATAGAAAATAGGACAAAATCCGTCGCAACTTGCAAAGTTATACCGGTCGGGGGGACGATCGCAATTGTGATAGACAATCGAGGACTTGTACTCATTGTGTGTTGACTTGACACTATAATGGAGGGGTATGGAAGCAATTTTAAAGCCGAAAATGTGATTGTAAGGGATCCTTCAGAAAATTGTATTTATTTATGCGTGGCTTGCGGAGAGATACAAGAGAGCTGAAAATGTACAAAGTTAGAATCGTACAATTTAACCCGCAAATAGTACGTGCACAAAAAAAATGTTGGAATGTTAACGACTGAAATGGAGGATTTGTTAAAGTAAGACTTTCGCTAGCTTACTTTTGGCACGAGCCGAGGGTTCTCGGCTCTGCAATGGTGCACAATTATTAAAGAAGGTGTAGTAAGTGATATGCGGACAGTCTAAATCATTACTTTTTGATCACATGTTTCGTATTCACCCGTTTGTGTTCTCTATCAAATTTAAACTGGTGGATCAATATATTCAATCACGCACTTATTTGGAAAAAAATTAGTTCCTGGACAATTCACGTAGATATTAATTTTTTTACACCTTTGAAAAGGTGTAACAAGACAAGGCAGTGAGCACAATGATAAGGAAAAATGGACACGCTTCGTTATGAATTAGGAACGTAATTCTTGATTGTCTACATTACCATTGCTCGTTAGAAAGGCTATGGCATCGGCGAGAGGCCAGTACAAGAATTTGTAGGAATTGGCAAAGATGTTTACACAACCGTACGTCATGTAGTTCTGTCAACATTAAAATCAAGATTACGGTGAAGGGATCACTGGCGTATTAACTCGACACGTAGTTAGGCTTTATGGTTTTGTACGGGGTAAAGTTTGTAACGGGGTAGCTCGCTACATGATATTGACACCAAACGGTGTCAATAGGAACGTTGTCTAGCATGGCGATCTCCTACCAACATTGTCCGAGATGGATAATATTGAAGGAATATTATTCCCATTTGTAGGATAATATTCACGCGCTGCTCAAAGATTATTTGATCAAGACAGATCAACCAAGGTTACCACCAATCGCTGCTAGACGCGCGTAATGAGTGGTGAGCAGGTTGTCACCATACGAAAACGTAGATTATTATAGTTAGATAAAGACTGAAGTTGTATTGATAGATCAGATATGTTGAAGAAAGTTCTATTTCTAACTTTACTCAAACTAGCAGTTCAAGTAGCTTAGCTTCCTCTGTACGTACTAATGTACGTGGAGTTTCGCGGCACCCCAAACAAAGGATGCCCCGTCACACCTGGTAGCACTTCGAAGTCCGTTCATAGACTACTTAGTTTTTGTCCAACATGAACATGTTGGACGTAGAAGACGACAGCTTTCACGTCACACGTGAAGGCTACTCCCACCTGAGTGACTCAGAATGGGAGGTAGTCGGCCGCATGAGTGTGCTCATGGGCGAACCCGCCATCAATGGCATGTTGGAGTCTCTAAGCAGAGACCAGCAACATGCTGCCATCAACAAGTTCCTGCAATGGGAACTTGCCGTCGAAAGACAGAAGATAGCCTTGCCACAACAGCAAGACTCTCATTAGTCGATGGGATGGCCGACGCACATGCGTCGACCCGGAACCTTGAAGATAGATATCTCAAGGTACAAGGGAACCGATGAAGATTCCCTTTTGAGATGGTTCGTCGAGTTAGACGACATCATCAGGGCCCGTCACATCGAGGGTGACGAGATGCAAGTCACCTTTGCCCTGTCAAATTTGACGGGACGAGCACAGACTTTAGCCTTAGGGCTCAAGCTTCACGACCCGAACATTTTTGAGTCGTTAGAGATCTTGAAGTCTCGGCTTAAAGAGACGTTTGAGCCGCTGCGAGCCGAGGTCAGAGCACGCTCTGCACTACTGAGTCTCAAGCAAGGTAAGCGTGATGTGCATGCTTACACACGAAACCTGGGCTACCTTGCGGGTAGCGCGGAGAACCCTGTTGATGAGCATACGCTCATCAACGTGTTCATTTACGGCCTTGTGGATGGACCGGTGAAGACCTACATGTTCCGGGAGGACTTCCATACGCTGGAAGAGGCGATAGCGTATACGGAACAAGAAGACTTCGGCCTGAGACAGTCTCAGGCTAACTCGTTCAACTATCGTCCGACGAGGCGACAGGAAATAGGAGGCCCCGAACCAATGGACCTCTGTTACATCAAGAGCGAGAACTCTCGCTCTCTGAGTCAAGCGAACGGCAAGATGCCACCGCTTTCAGAAGATTGGGCACTACGCCCATGTGTGTAGTGTCCCAAGCACCGCATCACGTCCAAAGACAGGACGTGATGACCGCTGCTGCCAAGGAAAAGTCGAAAGCGTGGGTCCGACCATGTCGTTAAGCCGTGACAGCAAGTCGGAGCGCCAAAAAAAAGAACAGGGTCAGTATGGGCGGAGCACCTTGCTGATCCAGCAACGTCAAGAGAATTTGCAGGACTTTTAACGAAGATCGCTTCCAACACGCAGTCTCTGTGTGTTACTGCCCTTAGTGAAGAGTAGTCTTTCATCAGTTTGAAGATCGAAGTGACAAGTGGAATGTCACTTCGCGTCCGAGTTGACAGTGGGGCGTCGAAGAGTTTTATTCGACGCCAGTCGCTAGGGGATCGTAGGCTCAACTATGTTGAGCGAGAGCTCCGTCCAACGAGGATGACGGTGTGCCTTGCTACAGGCGCCTCCGTAACAGTGAACAAACGTGTAGTAGGAATCCACTACACGCTAGAAGGAAAGTAGTACGATGATGACTTCATCGTACTGGATTTGTATGACAAACTTGATGTCATCCTTGGTCTGCCATGGCTTAGAAAGTACCGACCATGGGATAGCTGGCAGCATCGATCTGTGAAGATGCCTGCCGTTTGTTCATCGGATGGCCATCTGATAAACGTCTTGGAGCGTCCACAAGCGTATGGATGTACTACGAGTGAGTGCTATGGCCTCACTTGTGGTACGGTCGTTAGTACGATTGCACAAGATCACAGTGTAGAAGGCCACTGCACTGTGGAACCAGCTTTTGGCACCTGTGTAGAGACACAAAGTGCGCCGAAGGTCCACCACTCGAAGAGATCGAGTGGACTGGAACACGGATGCACACCAAGAAGGGTGCATCCGAGAAGAGAGAACTAGTGTTGTTCAGGATGAACAACACGTTAAAGCGATATCGACTACCAGAAAGTCGATCGTAGAGCAAGCCCGATCGACTGAAAGAGAGTCGATCGAAGAGGACGTGACTGTGGTAGTGCACCTACTGTCAGAACACGTATTAAAAGAAAATTCCGGCGTTCCTGAGAGTGATAACTCCCGAGAGAGTTATGTTGAGGGTGTGGATTTTCAACCGCCTGCGGATGTGTTTTTCCAGGAAATCACCGAGTCAGTGAATGTCTTGGTGAATGACGGATCAAGTGTAGACGCTTATACACTTGATCTGGTGACGCCCCCAAAGTCAGCTTCGGAGGTGGTCAAGTTGCCAACATCTAAAAGATTCTTACAAGATCTGCGTAGTAACAAGATCAAGCAGATCTGCGTACTCTTCACAGAGGACGAGTACGTCGCCGATATTTGGTCGGTACAAGTGTTTGCTGAGAACGAACGGGTTCTCAGTAGCTCATCGATAGATGAGAGTGTCCTCGATGAGAAGACCCGGATCAAGCGATACACGTCTAAATCTTGGGAGTCTTTGAAGACAAATCTTTGCATAAGGATTTGTTCGAATTCAGGGATGTTTCCCAGAATCCGTGCCATGCGAGCTGCCTAAGCATAAAGGCACTCGGCATGAGATCGAACTGAAACCCGGTTCGAAATACCGTGTCATGAAGCAGTGGCCACTTCCTCGTGAACAGGTAACAGCGATAGACGAATTCCTTGCCGATCGTTTAGCGGCTGGTCATGTGAGGGAATTAAAATCCCCACACAGCTCTCCGACCTTCTGTTCGCGAAAGGCCACAGAAGGGTGGCGGATAGTGCACGCGGTCAACAAATTGAACGCTGCAACGGTACCGGCTCAGACGCCGATACCGAGGAAGGATGTCATCATAGATGGTATGGCAAAAAAAGTACCATCTTTTCATCCATGGATTTGATGGATGGATTCTATCAGATCCTCATGCGTGAGCGAGATATCCCTTACACAGCAGTGAGCACCCCCAGTGGTATGCTCTGGGAGTGGCTAGTGATGCCACAGGTGCTAAGTAACGCCCCCGCAACGTTTAACAGATGTGTATCACATCTGTTGAGACCAGTACGAGAATTCGCACCGAGTTATTTCGACGATGTCTTCGTCCATAGTCGGGCTATGGATGGAAAGACGGACGTGGAGGTTCACAGATACCACGTCCGACAGGGTTCTTACAATCATGCGAAAGCATTAATTGTATGCCAACCTCAAGAAGTGTATATTTGAAGCAAGCGAAATACCACTTCCTGGTCTCATCGTGGGTAAAAACGGTGTACGCCCTGATCCGGAAAAGATTGAGGTGAATAGCGACTGGCCTGTGCGAGTCGACGTCAAGGGACTTCGAAAGTTCCTTGTCTTGGCAGCGTATATGCACAAATACTCGCGCTACTATGCCGAGATAACTGTACATCTCTCTCGTCTATCAAAGAAAAGCGAGAGGTGGTCATGGAGCACTGAGTGTCAGCACTCTTTTGAAGTAATCAAGAAAAGCTTGGTGCAATCGCCTGTGTTGGCGATTGCAGACCAGGACAGATCATTCATGTGGTCTGTGACGCCAGCGATTTTGCAATCGGCTGCGCGTTAATGCAGTACGACTACAGACGGCGTTGAGCGCGTCGTCTGTTATCAATCGCGTCAGCTGCAAGCAGCTGAGCGAAATTATCCGGTTCATGACAAGGAACTCCTTGCCATGACATATGCACTGGCCGAGTTTCGGGTATATCTCCTAGGAGATAGGCCTTTCATCGTTTATACCGACCATGCGTCTTTACGCACGGCCGTAAACAGCCCACACCGCTTGCAGCGAATGGCGAGGTGGCTGTCTTTCTTCTCGGAGTAAAACTTATCCGTCGAGTATAAACCAGGATGACTTGATGTCGTCGCTGATGCTCTTTCGCGTCGGCCCGATTTCGAGCCGACTGCTCAACCCAACAGTAGGGGTGATCCCACTGTCGCGACACTAACAGTGAGTGTTCCGTCGTCGAATCTGCTCGATGACGTGCGAAAAGCATACACAGAAGATGAGTCTCTTCTGCGATTGATGGATTACGTATCTAATCAATGCAGTCAAGCTTTAGAAAGCTTGTTTGTCTCGATAATGCTCTTCAACCGAACGGTATTCGGTTCTTGATGTATTGGTTACTACACAGCATTCAATAACAACACACCTCGCGTCGTTGTTCCCGCTCAGAATGATTTGCGATTGCGCATCATGGTGAGTGTCACGATGCCCAAACAAGTGGACATCGCGGTAGAGAAAAGACTTGCCCTCATGGTGAGTCGTGACTTCTACTGGCCCCGCCAGTGATGAGTTTGTGCGCAAATACATTCGCGCTTGCGAAGTTTGTCAACGGGTGAAGCCTAGTCCTTCATCCCGCGCACCCTTACAGCCTCTTCCGATTTCGGTAGATTGTTGGCAGTCCGTATCGATGGACTTCGTCTTCTGGTTTCCCAAATACGTTCATAAGAATACGGGTATTCTTGTGTTTTTGATCGGTTCAGCAAGATGGTACATCTTGTTGCTGCACCGGAGTCAATTACAGCCCAGGGCTGTGCGCGTGTCTTCATCGATACTATCTTCCCGACTTCACGGGTTACCCCGTGAACTTGTGTCTGATCGAGAACCCCGCTTCACAGCGGGGTTCTGACAATCCGTGTTCCGTTCACTTGGAACACGTTTGACAATGTCGACTTCTGACCATCCAGAAACAGATGATCAAACGGAACGCGTGAACCGCGTCCTCGAAGAGATACTTCGAGGGTACGTCCACTCGTTTGCAAGTTGGAGTGAGTTCTTGCCGATGGCGGAATTCGCCATCAACAACTTCAGGTCACGCGTCGACAACGCGTACACCGTTCTTCGTGAATGGCCTACGCCATCCACGTTTACCCGCCTTCTTAGAGTGTGAATCTAGTTTAAGGGGGAATGGAATCGCTCAAACGAAATCCGATCTGGTTCTTGCTCATCACCCGTCGAAAATGGTGTCGACGTGATGGATGCCGATGTCGATGCGATCGATATCGATGATGACGATGACGACGATGCTGGCATATTCAGAATCGCCAATGACTGCCAAATTGAGGACGATGATACCCTCACTGGCGAAGACAACGTTCTTTCAGCAGTGCGCACGAAGCGCACTGCTGTTGACAAGGATGCGTCAGCATAGAAATTTCTGCTGACTCGCGAAGCGATTGTCCCTTTCGTTCAAGACTCTATTGCAGATGCACTAGACAGACAGAAGAGAAACGCAGACAAACATGGAAAAGCAAATGTTCTTTCATTTGATGAAGGAGACCTAGTTTACTGTCAACAGTAAATTTACCGAAGCACACAGTGACAAACGTGGGCAGCAGTAAATTACTGCCCAGGTACATTGGTACATTTCTTGTGTTGCGCCGAATGGGCAACGCATACACGATTGAACTGCCCCGTAAGATGCGCATCCTACGTTTTATGTTGGTCGTCTCCGCCCGTACTATCAGTAAGCGCCCGTTTCAAGATGCGAAGAACACCTCCACGGTCGAGAGCCGAGACCACCCTCGAGTGGTCCCGTTTCAACGAGCCAGTCTGGTCGACTAGCGAAGCGACCTGTTCACGCAGCTCAGCGATGTCTCGACGGGCTACAGCCAGCTCGTCACGAAGAGAACTGAGCCGAATTCGTTCTCAAGTTGCGCGAACGCAAAAGCGGCACGATCGTCCGAACGATCGTGCGTTGGAATTGTAGTTGATCGCTTACAAGATCATCAAGCCCATAACGATGAGATCGTTCATGAGCCAGGTCATCTTGCAACTGTTCCGTTAGACGGTTCCGCTCTTGAACATCAAATTGATCCGACCCTCGAGCCCGGATCAGGAGTTCCCACCGCCGCCACATCCTTTAGTGGACTCAAGCGGTGGTCAACGCTTCCTAGTGGAGAGTATTTTGAACCAATGCGATGTGAATGGCGTCCGGACGAGCTACCCTCGCTGGCTGGCGTGGCTATCCACCGGCGTGGGACAGCTGGGAGCCTCGTGCCCAGCTGATTGTTGATGTCCTTGGTCTCGTCGAGCAGTACGACGAGACCCCCCCGCTGAATTTGAAGAAGGGCCGTCGGAAAACTACCTCCTCGAACGCGAGTACAGGGATTGCAAAGTGCGATCCTTCGGCCATCTCGGAAGAGATGCGCGCCCTCAGAAGGGAATTTTAGGGAGGTAGGCCTCCCCAGGGCACGATTCGCAGTGTCCAGGCAACCTATACACGAATTACCCCACGAGAGACAGGGTAATCCTGCTCTCTTGAAAGCCGGCGCAACTTGTATCGCGCCCCGACTGGGTTGCGTTTCTCAAAAATGATGCGAGCTGCATCAAGTTTGGCGAGCCAGGCCTCACGGCCAATGCACTCGATGTTGTTGATGAGGGCATCCCATCCTGCACCAAGGCTTTGCCGTCTCGTACAACGGCTAACATTGTACCACCGATGTGATGAAACGCGTCGGTGAAGAACTCTTCCTCAGCACGGATAGTTTCCGTGCTGGAATCAGTGGGCAAATCTTCCTGCAATCGAACAACGAGATTCGACCCGTTCGGTGGTCCATGTCCGCCACTCGATCCAACTCTCTGGATGGCGGCATCCACGGAGAATCCACTTGGGGAGCGTGGAGCAGGACATTTCGGTCCCTGGCCTCTTGATTGGATCCAGCATGAGCACTGGTACCAGTGTTACCCCGATCCCTTGAATTACTTCGCTGGTGGTGATGCATAGGGCGTCACCACCATCCACGCGTCCTATCGTTAGACGGACTTGCGTAAGGCGGAGATTCATCGGAATAATCACTCGATCCAAAGATCTCGGTCATGATACCGCCGCGTTGACCAGAGCCAGTCAACCTGGCTCTTGCAGTGTCCCCCCGGGTGATCCGGAGGCGCGAGGTGTCGCGTTCGAGTCGGATGCATCATCCGAATCGCCAGAAGAGATGAGCTCTATCTTAGACTTGTCTTGATTACGACTCAAAGTACCCACTGCAGACGCAGCGGATGTACCGGTCGCACGTGGTGACTCACCACGTGGACGATTCACAACAACAGGTAGAACACCAGCTGCCGCTGAGGTGTGCGATGCACTTTCACGGCCGCACGCATGCGTGCAGAGGCCCTTCTTGCTGCTCAGAAGCAGCTCGCGTGGTTTCGGAAACCATGCGTTGGATTGCTAATGAATGGAATTCGACCAACAAGTTCTCCCTTTCCCAGGGTGATCCAACAGTGGTCATCCTGTCCCAATCAATTCTTATTCAATCAACGGGTATTGATGGCTAAGGGGGGGTGATGTAACGGGGTAGCCCGTTACATGATATTGACACCAAACGGTGTCAATAGGAACGTTGTCTAGCATGACAAAATGTTACCAATATTATCCGAGATGGACAATATTGAAGGAATATTATCCGCCTTTTGGATAATATTCATTCGCTGCTCCAAGATTGGTTGATATAAGACATATTAACCATAGATTGCCACTAATCGCTGCTAGACGCGCGCAATGAGTGGTGAGCAGGTTGTCGTCATGCGACGGCGTGGTTTAAAATAGTTAAATTAAGATTAAAGTTAAATTGATAGCTTAACTATACTAGTATACAGTTCTCGTTTTACCTTTACTTGATCGAGGTGTACAAGTAGACAAGCTTCCTCTGTACGTACTAGTGTACGTGAAGTTTCGCGGCACCCCGAACAAAGGGTGCCTCTTGACACCCTGCGCTTCTGCTTTTATTTGTGATCTTGGTGCTGTCCGATGGCTCTCTACGTGGTACGAGCTGCCATTCTCTTCCTCTTCACCAACCGCACGTGGCAGATCCCCAGCCATGTCCACTATACAGCTTTAACTACACAATACACTGTGTCCAGAGCCAGCCACTTTCTGCCTGTTGTCAGACTCGATGAGTCGCAAGGTTCAACTCACACTGGCAAAGAGGATATGAAGAAGAGGACGGATTCTAATGATCTAAGCAGTTGCGAGGACAACGAAACACTGTGTTACAAGGCATCCTTTTTCCGGGGGCCACGAAACTTCACGTACACTAGTACGTGCAGAGGAAGCTAATCTGCTCAACAGCTAAGTTGAGTAAAGGGTAAAAAGATAATTGCATTCAGTGTAGCTAAGCAATTTAACTTTAATCTTAATTTAACTATGCTAAACTACACCGTCGTATGACGACAACCTGCTCACCACTCATTGCGCGCGTCTAGCAGCGATTGGTGGCTATCTGGGGTTGATCCGTCTTTTATCAACCAATCTTGGAGCAGCGAATGAATATTATCCAAAAGGCGGATAATATTCCTTCAATATTGTCCATCTCGGATAATATTGGTAACATTTTGTCATGCTAGACAACGTTCCTATTGACACCGTTTGGTGTCAATATCATGTAACGGGCTACCCCGTTACATCACCCCCCCTTAGCCATCAATACCCGTTGATTGAATAAGAATTGATTGGGACAGGATGACCACTGTTGGATCACCCTGGGAAAGGGAGAACTTGTTGGTCGAATTCCATTCATTAGCCAATCCAACGCATGGTTTCCGAAACCACGCGAGCTGCTTCTGCAGCAGCAAGAAGGGCCTCTGCACGCATGCGTGCGGCCGTGGAAAGTGCATCGCACACCTCAGCAGCAGGTGATTCGTCACCTGTTGTTGTGAATCGTCCACGTGGTGAGTCACCACGTGCGACCGGTACATCCGCTGCGTCTGCAGTGGGTACTTTGAGTCGTAATCAAGACAAGTCTAAGATAGAGCTCATCTCTTCTGGCGATTCGGATGATGCATCCGACTCGAACGCGACACCTCGCGCCTCCGGATCACCCGGGGCGGACACTGCAAGAGCCAGGTTGACTGGCTCTGGTCAACGCGGCGGTATCATGACCGAGATCTTTGGATCGAGTGATTATTCCGATGAATCTCCGCCTTACGCAAGTCCGTCTAACGATAGGACGCGTGGGAATGGTGGTGATGCACCTATGCATCACCACCAGCGAAGTAATTCAAGGGATCGGGGTAACACTGGTACCAGTGCTCATGCTGGATCCAATCAAGAGGCCAGGGACCGAAATGTCCTGCTCCACGCTCCCCAAGTGGAGTCTCCGTGGATGCCGCCATCCAGAGAGTTGGATCGAGTGGCCGACATGACCACCGAACGGGATCGAATCTCGTTGTTCGATTGCAGGAAGATTTGCCCACCTGATTCCAGCACGGAAACTATCCGTGCTGAGGAAGAGTTCTTCACCGACGCGTTCTTCAAACATCGGTGGTACAATGTTAGCCGTGTACGAGACGGCAAAGCCTTGGTGCAGGGATGGAATGCCCTCATCCACAACATCGAGTGCATTGACCGTGAGGCCTGGCTCGCCAAACTTGATGCAGCTCGCATCATTTTTGAGAAACGCAACCCAGTCGGGGCGCGATACAAGTTGCGCCGGCTTTCAAGAGAGGCAGGATTACCCTGTCTCTCGTGGGGTAATTCGTGTATAGGTTGCCTGGACAATGCGAATCGTGCCCCTGGGGAGGCCTACCTCCCTAAAATTCCCTTCTGGAGGGCGCGCATCTCTTCCGAGATGGCCGAAGGGATCGACACTTTGCAATCCCTGTACTCGCGTTCGAGGAGGTAGTTTTCCGACGGCCCTTCTTCAAATTCAGCGGGTGGGTCTCGTCGTACTGCTCGACGAGACCAAGGACATCAACAATCAGCTGGGCACGAGGCTCCCAGCTGTCCCACGCCGGTGGATAGCCACGCCAGCGGACGAGGTAGCTCGTCCGGACGCCATTCACATCGCATTGGTTCAAAATACTCTCCACTAGGAAGCGTTGACCACCGCTTGAGTCCACTAAAGGATGTGGCGGCGGTGGGAACACCTGATCCGGCTCGAGGGTCGGATCAAGTTGATGTTCAAGAGCGGAACCGTCTAACGGAACAGTTGCAAGATGACCTGGCTCATGAACGATCTCATCGTTATGGGCTTGATGATCTTGTAAGCGATAACTACAATTCCCTAACGCACGATCGTTCGGACGATCGTGCCGCTTTTGCGTTCGCGCAACTTGAGAACGAACGTTCGACTCGTTCTCTTCGTGACGAGCTGGCTGTAGCCCGTCGAGACATCGCTGAGCTGCGTGAACAGGTCGCTTCGCTAGTCGACCAGACTGGCTCGTTGAAACGGGACCACTCGAGGGTGGTCTCGGCTCTCGACCGTGGAGGTGTTCTTCGCATCTTGAAACGGGCGCTTACTGATAGTACGGGCGGAGACGACCAACATAAAACGTAGGATGCGCATCTTACGGGGCAGTTCAATCGTGTATGCGTTGCCCATTCGGCGCAACACAAGAAATGTACCAATGTACCTGGGCAGTAATTTACTGCTGCCCACGTTTGTCACTGTGTGCTTCGGTAAATTTACTGTTGACAGTAAAACTAGGTCTCCTTCATCAAATGAAAGAACATTTGCTTTTCCATGTTTGTCTGCGTTTCTCTTCTGTCTGTCTAGTGCATCTGCAATAGAGTCTTGAACGAAGCGGACAATCGCTTCGCGAGTCAGCAGAAATTTCTATGCTGACGCATCCTTGTCAACAGCAGTGCGCTTCGTGTGCACTGCTGAAAGAACGTTGTCTTCGCCAGTGAGGGTATCATCGTCCTCAATTTGGCAGTCATTGGCGATTCTGAATATGCCAGCATCGTCGTCATCGTCATCATCGATATCGATCGCATCGACATCGGCATCCATCACGTCGACACCATTTTCGACGGGTGATGAGCAAGAACCAGATCGGATTTCGTTTGAGCGATTCCATTCCCCCCCTTAAACTAGATTCACACTCTAAGAAGGCGGGTAAACGTGGATGGCGTAGGCCATTCACGAAGAACGGTGTACGCGTTGTCGACGCGTGCACCAAGTTGTTGATGGCGAATTCCGCCATCGGCAAGAACTCACTCCAACTTGCAAACGAGTGGACGTACCCTCGAAGTATCTCTTCGAGGACGCGGTTCACGCGTTCCGTTTGATCATCTGTTTCTGGATGGTCAGAAGTCGACATTGTCAAACGTGTTCCAAGTGAACGGAACACGGATTGTCAGAACTCCGCTGTGAAGCGGGGTTCTCGATCAGACACAAGTTCACGGGGTAACCCGTGAAGTCGGAAGATAGTATCGATGAAGACACGCGCACAGCCCTGGGCTGTAATTGACTCCGGTGCAGCAACAAGATGTACCATCTTGCTGAACCGATCAAAAAACACAAGAATACCCGTATTCTTATGAACGTATTTGGGAAACCAGAAGACGAAGTCCATCGATACGGACTGCCAACAATCTACCGAAATCGGAAGAGGCTGTAAGGGTGCGCGGGATGAAGGACTAGGCTTCACCCGTTGACAAACTTCGCAAGCGCGAATGTATTTGCGCACAAACTCATACTGGCGGGGCCAGTAGAAGTCACGACTCACCATGAGGCAAGTCTTTTCTCTACCGCGATGTCCACTTGTTTGGGCATCGTGACACTCATACATGATGCGCAATCGCAAATCATTCTGAGCGGGAACAACGACGCGAGGTGTGTTGTTATTGAATGCTGTGTAGTACACCAATACATCAAGAACCGAATACCGTTCGGTTGAAGAGCATTATCGAGACAAACAAGCTTTCTAAAGCTTGACTGCATTGATTAGATACGTAATCCATCAATCGCAGAAGAGACTCATCTTCTGTGTATGCTTTTCGCACGTCATCGAGCAGATTCGACGACGGAACACTCACTGTTAGTGTCGCGACAGTGGGATCACCCCTACTGTTGGGTTGAGCAGTCGGCTCGAAATCGGGCCGACGCGAAAGAGCATCAGCGACGACATCAAGTCATCCTGGTTTATACTCGACGGATAAGTTTTACTCCGAGAAGAAAGACAGCCACCTCGCCATTCGCTGCAAGCGGTGTGGGCTGTTTACGGCCGTGCGTAAAGACGCATGGTCGGTATAAACGATGAAAGGCCTATCTCCTAGGAGATATACCCGAAACTCGGCCAGTGCATATGTCATGGCAAGGAGTTCCTTGTCATGAACCGGATAATTTCGCTCAGCTGCTTGCAGCTGACGCGATTGATAACAGACGACGCGCTCAACGCCGTCTGAGTCGTACTGCATTAACGCGCAGCCGATTGCAAAATCGCTGGCGTCACAGACCACATGAATGATCTGTCCTGGTCTGCAATCGCCAACACAGGCGATTGCACCAAGCTTTTCTTGATTACTTCAAAAGAGTGCTGACACTCAGCGCTCCATGACCACCTCTCGCTTTTCTTTGATAGACGAGAGAGATGTACAGTTATCTCGGCATAGTAGCGCGAGTATTTGTGCATATACGCTGCCAAGACAAGGAACTTTCGAAGTCCCTTGACGTCGACTGGCACAGGCCAGTCGCTATTCACCTCAATCTTTTCCGGATCAGGGCGTACACCGTTTTTACCCACGATGAGACCAGGAAGTGGTATTTCGCTTGCTTCAAATATACACTTCTTGAGGTTGGCATACAATTAATGCTTTCGCATGATTGTAAGAACCTGTCGGACGTGGTATCTGTGAACCTCCACGTCCGTCTTTCCATCCATAGCCCGACTATGGACGAAGACATCGTCGAAATAACTCGGTGCGAATTCTCGTACTGGTCTCAACAGATGTGATACACATCTGTTAAACGTTGCGGGGGCGTTACTTAGCACCTGTGGCATCACTAGCCACTCCCAGAGCATACCACTGGGGGTGCTCACTGCTGTGTAAGGGATATCTCGCTCACGCATGAGGATCTGATAGAATCCATCCATCAAATCCATGGATGAAAAGATGGTACTTTTTGCCATACCATCTATGATGACATCCTTCCTCGGTATCGGCGTCTGAGCCGGTACCGTTGCAGCGTTCAATTTGTTGACCGCGTGCACTATCCGCCACCCTTCTGTGGCCTTTCGCGAACAGAAGGTCGGAGAGCTGTGTGGGGATTTTAATTCCCTCACATGACCAGCCGCTAAACGATCGGCAAGGAATTCGTCTATCGCTGTTACCTGTTCACGAGGAAGTGGCCACTGCTTCATGACACGGTATTTCGAACCGGGTTTCAGTTCGATCTCATGCCGAGTGCCTTTATGCTTAGGCAGCTCGCATGGCACGGATTCTGGGAAACATCCCTGAATTCGAACAAATCCTTATGCAAAGATTTGTCTTCAAAGACTCCCAAGATTTAGACGTGTATCGCTTGATCCGGGTCTTCTCATCGAGGACACTCTCATCTATCGATGAGCTACTGAGAACCCGTTCGTTCTCAGCAAACACTTGTACCGACCAAATATCGGCGACGTACTCGTCCTCTGTGAAGAGTACGCAGATCTGCTTGATCTTGTTACTACGCAGATCTTGTAAGAATCTTTTAGATGTTGGCAACTTGACCACCTCCGAAGCTGACTTTGGGGGCGTCACCAGATCAAGTGTATAAGCGCCTACACTTGATCCGTCATTCACCAAGACATTCACTGACTCGGTGATTTCCTGGAAAAACACATCCGCAGGCGGTTGAAAATCCACACCCTCAACATAACTCTCTCGGGAGTTATCACTCTCAGGAACGCCGGAATTTTCTTTTAATACGTGTTCTGACAGTAGGTGCACTACCACAGTCACGTCCTCTTCGATCGACTCTCTTTCAGTCGATCGGGCTTGCTCTACGATCGACTTTCTGGTAGTCGATATCGCTTTAACGTGTTGTTCATCCTGAACAACACTAGTCTCTCTTCTCGGATGCACCCTTCTTGGTGTGCATCCGTGTTCCAGTCCACTCGATCTCTTCGAGTGGTGGACCTTCGGCGCACTTTGTGTCTCTACACAGGTGCCAAAAGCTGGTTCCACAGTGCAGTGGCCTTCTACACTGTGATCTTGTGCAATCGTACTAACGACCGTACCACAAGTGAGGCCATAGCACTCACTCGTAGTACATCCATACGCTTGTGGACGCTCCAAGACGTTTATCAGATGGCCATCCGATGAACAAACGGCAGGCATCTTCACAGATCGATGCTGCCAGCTATCCCATGGTCGGTACTTTCTAAGCCATGGCAGACCAAGGATGACATCAAGTTTGTCATACAAATCCAGTACGATGAAGTCATCATCGTACTACTTTCCTTCTAGCGTGTAGTGGATTCCTACTACACGTTTGTTCACTGTTACGGAGGCGCCTGTAGCAAGGCACACCGTCATCCTCGTTGGACGGAGCTCTCGCTCAACATAGTTGAGCCTACGATCCCCTAGCGACTGGCGTCGAATAAAACTCTTCGACGCCCCACTGTCAACTCGGACGCGAAGTGACATTCCACTTGTCACTTCGATCTTCAAACTGATGAAAGACTACTCTTCACTAAGGGCAGTAACACACAGAGACTGCGTGTTGGAAGCAATCTTCGTTAAAAGTCCTGCAAATTCTCTTGACGTTGCTGGATCAGCAAGGTGCTCCGCCCATACTGACCCTGTTCTTTTTTTTGGCGCTCCGACTTGCTGTCACGGCTTAACGACATGGTCGGAGCCACGCTTTCGACTTTTCCTTGGCCAACGGCGGTCATCACGTCCTGTACGTGATGCGGTGCTCGGGACACTTCACTCATGAGCGTAGTGTCCAATCTTCTGAAAGCGGTGGCATCTTGCCGTTCGCTTGACTCAGAGAGCGAGAGTTCTCGCTCTTGATGTAACAGAGGTCCATTGGTTGGGACATCCTATTTCCTGTCGCCTCGTCGGACGATAGTTGAACGAGTTAGCCTGAGACTGTCTCAGGCTGAAGTCTTCTTGTTCCGCATACGCTATCGCCTCTTCCAGCGTATGGAAGTTCTCCCGGAACTTGTAGGTCTTCACCGGTCCATCCACAAGGCCGTAAATGAACACGTTGATGAGCGTATGCTCATCAACAGGGTTCTCCGCGCTACCCGCAAGGTAGCCCAGGTTTCGTGTGTAAGCATGCACATCACGCTTACCTTGCTTGAGACTCAGTAGTGCAGAGCGTGCTCTGACCTCGGCTCGCAGCGGCTCAAATGTCTCTTTAAGCCGAGACTTCAAGATCTCTAACGACTCAAAAATGTTCGGGTCGTGAAGCTTGAGCCCTAAGGCTAAAGTCTGTGCTCGTCCCGTCAAATTTGACAGGGCAAAGGTGACTTGCATCTCGTCACCCTCGATGTGACGGGCCCTGATGATGTCGTCTAACTCGACGAACCATCTCAAAAGGGAATCTTCACCGGTTCCCTTGTACCTTGAGATATCTATCTTCATGGTTCCGGGTCGACGCATGTGCGTCGGCCATCCCATCGACTGATGAGAGTCTTGTCGTTGCGGCAAGGCTATCTTCTGTCTTTCGACGGCAAGTTCCCATTGCAGGAACTTGTTGATGGCAGCATGTTGCTGGTCTCTGCTTAGAGACTCCAACATGCCATTGATGGCGGGTTCGCCCATGAGCACACTCATGCGGCCGACTACCTCCCATTCTGAGTCACTCAGGTGGGAGTAGCCTTCACGTGTGACGTGAAAGCTGTCGTCTTCTACGTCCAACATGTTCATGGTGGACGGAAACTAAGTAGTCTATGAACGGACTTCGAAGTGCTACCAGGTGTGACGGGGCATCCTTTGTTTGGGGTGCCGCGAAACTCCACGTACATTAGTACGTACAGAGGAAGCTTGTCTACTTAAACGACTCGATCAAGTAAAGGTAAAAAGAGAACTGTATTTTATAAAGTTAAGCTATCAATTTAACATTAATCTTAATTTAACTATTTTAAATCACGCCGTCGTATGACGACAACCTGCTCACCACTCATTGCGCGCGTCTAGCAGCGATTGGTGGTAATCCATGGTTGGTATGTCTTATATCAACCAATCTTGAAGCAGCGATGAATGTTATTAAAGGGGAAATATTCCTTCAATATTATCCATCTCGGATAATATTGGTAGAAAATTGTCATGCTAAACAACGTTCCTATTGACACCGTTTGGTGTCAGTTTCATGTAACGGGCTACCCCGTTACATCACCCCCCCTAGCCATCAATACTTGTTGGAAAAATAAGAATTGATTGGGACAGAATGACCACTGTTGGATCACCCTTGGAAAGGAAGCACTTGTTAGTCACATCCCAATGATTTGCCAATTGTGACGGGACACCCTTTGTCTGAGTGCCACGACACTTTTGTACACTAGTACTTGCAGAGACGGCTAATCAACTTGAACGACTCGATCAAGTAAGGTAAAAAGATAACTGTAACGGGGTGAATCTTTACATAACAATTTATTAGAAATTGTTAATAGAATATAACTATAAGGGTTCTATTCACAGAATATTGTCATAAGGACGAATATTCTGTAGCACTTACGCTTAGTTCCTAATTGGTTGATATAGGCCATTATATCAACCAACGAAGACGCACCACGACAGACGCACGCGATGAGTGGTGAGCAGATAGTTGACATACACATTTGTATTTAGACATAGTTAGATGAGGGTAAATAGTGATTTATTGACGGACATTAACTATTATAAATACAGTTCTACTTTTTACTTTAACGAAGTACTCGCTTCTTCTTACCATCTTCCTCTGCACATACCAGTGTACGTGAAGTTTCGAGGCACCGCCTTATTCTGTCATCAGAATAAGTAGCTTGTACTGTCATGAGTACAAGCTTCAGGGTGCCCCGTTGCACCTGGTAGCACTTCGTAGTCCGTCCAAGGACCACGTTCACATCTAACATGACTACGTTAGATGATGATGATGACCAAAGCTTTCATGCTACGCGTGACGGCTACTGCCATTTCAGCAATGTCGAATGGGATGCGGTTGAACGGATGGGTTCAACCATGGGCATCCATGCTGTTTGCGTCATGCTAGAGGCTCTCAATAGAGATGCCCAACATGCTACTATCGCCAAGTTCATTCAAAATGAACTTGACGTTGAACGCGAGAAAGTAGCCTTGCTTCACCAACAAGGTTCTCAACAATCAGATTTGTTGAGAGAACAGGGTGCTCAACATTCGAACTGTTGAGACAGCAGCAGGCTGCTGCTGGTGGGACGATGCACACGCGTCGACCCGAAACCTTGAAGATTGACATCTCCAAGTATAGGGGAGTCGAAGAGGACTCCCTCTTGAGATGGTTTGTCGAATCGGATGACGCCATAAGGGCGCGTCGCATCGACGACGGGGATATGCAAGCTGCATTTGCCCAGTCAAATCTGGCAGGACGTGCCAAGACTTGGGCACTGGGGCTCAAGTTGCACGACCCATATGCGTTTGGGTCGTTGGAAGTCTTCAAGTCGCGGCTCAGACAAACGTTTGAACCGCCTAGAGCTGAGTTCAGAGCTCGAACCGAACTCTTGAAGCTCAAGCAGGGTAAGCGTAATGTGCACGCTTACGCTCAACATATACGACATCTCACGAGTTGTATAAGTTCCAATCCAGTGGATGAACACACGTTGGTTTCGGTGTTCATGCAGGGTCTTGCGGATGGTCCCGTCAAGACTCACCTGTTCCGGCTTGAACTAGATTCACTAGAACAAGCCATTTCCATTGCGGAGCAGGAAGACTTCAGTCTGAGACAGGCTCGCGCCAGCTCGAAATCATATCGTCAACCGAGACTATATGACAACGGAGGTCCAGAGCCGATGGAACTCTGTTATGTAGAGAGCGAGAAGGCTCGCTCTACAGGCTACAAGAAGTTGCAGAGATGCAACAGATGTCAAAAGCCAGGACACTACGCTTACGAGTGTAGTGCCCCTCGTCCAGTGTCTCGCGACACTGGGCGTAGTGACCGTCCACCCATGAGAAAGGGGCAGGGACGAGGGTCCGCTGTTGGTGCAAAGACGCAACAACGGGATGGACCGTCAAAAAACGGACAGGATCAGTAGGTGCGGAGCACCCTACTGGTCTAACAACGTCAAGAGAATTTGTAGGCCTCTTGATGAAGGTTTCTCCCAACACACAAACATTGTGCGTTGCTGCTCTAGGTAATGAGGTCTCACTCATTACCTTGAAACTCGAAGTGACAAATAAGTTGTCCCTTCGAGCTCTAGTCGATTGTGGGGCGTCCAACAATTTTGTGCGACGCCAATCGCTAGAAGATGGTCAATTTAAATTCAGTGAATGTGACACACCTCCTACGAGGATGACGGTACGTCTTGCGACAGGCGCATCCGTAACCGTCATGAAGCGGATAGTGAAGATCCACTATACGCTAGAAGATACCCAATATGACGATGACTTTATCGTATTGGATTTGGATGACAAATTTGATGTCATCCTTGGAATACCGTGGCTCAGAAGGTACGAACCACGGGTAAACTGGCAACATCGGACAGTAACGATGCCTGCCGCTTGTTCATCAGATGGCCATCTGATGAACGTTTTGGAGCGTCCACAAGCGTGTGGATGTACTACGAGTGAGTGCGATGGCCTCAATTGTGGTACGGTCGTTAGTACGACTGCACAAAACCTTAGTGTGACAAACGGTTACACTTCGGAGCAAAGTTCCGGCGGCTGTGAGGAAACACAGGCTGCGCCGAAGGTCTACCACTCGAATGAGTCGGGTGGACTGGGACAAAGATGTATCCCTAGCGGGGAACATCTAGAAGAGAAAGAATAGATCGCTCAGGTTAAGCGAAACGATAATCCTAGATCGACTGGAGAGTCTTTCGTAAAGGATCTCGCTGTGGTTGCGCAACCACAGCTAGAGGAAGTAAAGGAAATAAGTACCGATATTACAAATACGGCGGAAATACGTTCCCCGAGACCCGCGGGAATAAGTCCCCGGGAAGCCAAAGGAATAAGTCCTTCGAGGCCTGAGGTAATAAGTCCCCAGGAAATGACAGAGACATTAAATGTCATAGTCAATGACGGATCAAGTGTAGGCGTTTATACACTTGATCTGATTGCGCCTCCGAAGTTGATTTCGAGATCACTCAGTTGCCAACGCTCGAACATAAAAGTTTCTTGCGTGATCTGCGTAGTGGCAAAGTCAAGCAGATCTGCGTATTCATCGCTGACGACGAGTGTGTAGCCGACATAAGGTCAGCAACAGTGTTCACTGAGAACGAGAGAGTTCTCAGTAGCTCATCTATGGACGAGAGTGTCCTAGATAAAAAGACACGAGTTGAGCGATATGACTCCCAATCGTGGGAATCGCTCAAGACAAATCCTCTCTATGAAGATTTGGTTGAATTCAAGGATGTATTCCCTGAAACTGTTCCGTGCGAATTACCAAAGGATAAAGGTATTCGACACGAGGTCGAGCTTAAACCAGGCTCGAAGTACTGTGTCATGGAGCAGTGGCCACTGCCTCGTGAACAAGTACTTGCGATCGACAAGTTCTTTGCCGATCGTTTAGCTGCGGGCCATGTGAGGGAATCAACTTCCCCACATAGCTCTCCGACCTTCTGTGTGCGAAAAGCAACAGGAGGGTGGCGGATAGTGCACGCGTTCAACAAATTGAACGCTGCAACGGTACCGGCTCAGACGCCGATACCGAGGAAGGACGTTATCATTGATGTTATGTCAAAGAGTACCATCTTTTCGTCCATGGATTTGATAGATGGCTTCTATCAAATCCTTATGCGAGAACGGGATATACCCTATACCGCAGTTAGCACGCCTAGCGGCATGCTCTGGGAGTGGCTAGTAATCCCACAAGGGCTTAGTAATGCCCCTGCCACGTTCAACAGATGTGTATCACATCTGTTGAGACCAGTACGAGAATTCGCGCCGAGTTATTTGGATGGCGTATTCATCCATAGTCGAGCTATGGATGGAAAGTCGGACGGTGAGGTTCACAGATACCACGTCCGACAGGTTCTTACAATCATGCGAAAGCATCAATTGTATGCTAACCTCAAGAAGTGTATATTTGCGGCAAGCGAAATACCACTTCTTGGGTGCATCGTTGGTAAGAACGGTGTACGTCCTGATCCCGAAAAGATCAAGGCGATTACCGACTGGCCTATGCCGGTTGATGTCAAAGGTCTTCGAAAATTCCTTGGGCTAGCGGCGTATTTGCATAAGTATTCACGCAATTACGCCGAGATGACTGTACACCTCTCTCGTTTGTTGAAAAAGGACGAGAGGTGGTTATGGAACGCTGAATGTCAGCGCTCCTTTGATGGTATCAAGAAGAGCTTGATACAATCCCCAGTCCTAGCAATAGCCGATCAGGACAGGCCATTTCATGTGGTCTGTGATGCCAGCGATTTCGCAATCGGCTGTGCATTAATGCAGTACGACCTAGAAGACGTTGAACGCGTCGTCTGCTATCAGTCGCGTCAGCTGCAACCAGATGAGCGGAACTATCCAGTGCATGACAAGGAACTCCTTGCCATGAAGTATGCACTCGCGAAGTTCAGAGTCTATCTATTAGGAGATAGACCCTTCATTGTTTACACTGACCGTGCGTCATTGCGCACGGCAGTCAACAGCCCGCACCTTTCACAACGAATGGCGCGGTGGTTGTCATTCTTTGCAGAATACAACTTTACGGTCGAGTACAAACCAGGACGACTTAATGTCGTCGCTGATGCACTCTCACGTCGTCCCGACTTTGAACCAGTCGTGAAACCCAACAGTGAGACAGCCACTGTTGCGGTTATGACGTCCTCAGTACCATCTTCAACGTTGTATGATGATGTGAGGCGGACGTATGCCCAAGATGGTGAGATAGTGAAGTTGTTGGCACATCTCTCACCACCACCTCGAGATAGTTGAAACGATTGTCGTCTGCGTATCGATCTGCATCAGATCGATACACTACTCGCGACGGTTTACTGTATTACACAGCCGTTTCTGGTGACACACCACGCGTTGTCATTCCATATGATACTGATCTGCGTTTGCGGATCATGTTCGAGTATCACGATGCTCCTACAGGAGGACACCGTGGCCGGGAGAAAACATATCTCACGGTGAGTCGAGACTTTTACTGGCCCCGCCAGTATCAGTTTGTGCGAAAGTAGGTTCGCGCATGCGAAGTCTGTCAACGAGTGAAGTCAAGTCCTTCACTGCGTGCACCTTTACAGCCTCTACCGGTTCCGGCTGAGTGCTGGGAATCTATCTCAATGGATTTCGTCTTCGGGTTACCCAAAGACGCACGCGGGAATACGGGTATTCTCGTTTTTGTTGACAGATTCAGCAAAATGGTACACCTTGTGGCTGTACCAGAGTCAATCACAGCAAGTGGCTGTGCTTGTGTCTGTATCGACACCACCTTCCGACTTCATGGGTTGCCCTGTGAACTCGTATCAGACAGAGATCCACGATTCACTGCTGACTTCTGGCGTTACGTGTTCAAATCACTCGGAACGCGCTTGAAGATGTCAACATCTGATCATCTAGAGTCAGATGGTCAGACGGAACGTGCCAATCATGTCCTAGAAGAGATACTTCGAGGATACGTACACTCCTCTAAGAGTTGGAGTGAGTTTTTGCCAATGGTAGAGTTTGCCATTAACAACTCGGTGCATGCGTCCACGACACATACACCGTTTTACGTGAATGGCTTACGCCATCCGCGTGTACCCACCTTACTAGAGTGTGACTCTGGTTTAAGGGGGGGACTCGCGCGAGCAAAAAAACGATTTGGTTCACGCTCATCACGCTCTGACAAAGAGGTCATTACGTTTGATGCCGACGTCGATAACATCGATATCGAAGAAGATGATGCCAGTGAGAGTGCGGAAGCCCTCACTGAAGAAAAGGTTGATGTTGCTACAGTGCGCTTACAGCGCACTGAAGATAACGAGTTATCAGATGAGTTCATACTGGCTCGTGAAACGGTAGTCCGTTTTGTGCAAGACTCCATCGCCGAAGCGGTGGATAAGCAAAAGCAAAACGCTGACAAGAATGGAAGGGCAAACAATTTTTTATTTAATAAAGGTGACTTAGTCCTACTGTCTACGGTTAATCTACCAAAGCATGTAGTGACTATCTTGGGTAGCAGTAAACTACTACCCAAGTACATCGGCCCATTTCGTGTATTGCACTGCCTAGGCAATGCATACACGATCGAGTTACCACGTAAGATGCGAACGCATCCCACGTTCTACGTTGGTCGGCTTAAGCCGTACCATCAGTACGCTGCTTCTTCCGATGAAGAACGCCCTTGCGTTCAAGCATCTCGCAGAGAGCCTTGTGCTCCCGATGGTGGGCATCAACAAGGGTCTGAAGAGCAGCTATCTCATCCCGAGACCGATCAACAATCCCACGAGCTACCCTTAGCTCGTCACGAAGAGATGTCAGAGATCTCTCGTTCTCAAGCTGAGCAAAGGCAAACTCATCTCGATGCTTCAAGGCAGTGTCCGCCATTTGGAGACGCCTATTCCGCTCATGTTCGAGATCGTTGCGTAACCCTTGCGTTACGCGATCAAAGAAGCTCTCGGCAACACACGGATCCCCATGATCGTGTGGAGAGCGTCTTTCCTCCTCCTTCACCTCCATCAGAGGACTCTCGCGGTAGCCAGCGCTATCTGATTGAGCAGCTGTTGAACCACCGCGATGTGAACGGACGACGGATGAGCTACCTCGTCTGGTGGCGCGGTTATCCCCCGTCCTGGGATACTTGGGAGCCCCACTCCCAACTGATGGTTGACGTACTGGGTCTGGTTGAGCAGTACGACGCGGCACATCCTGTGCCGCAGAACGACCGCCGGAGAAAGTCTTCCCGGCACGGTCGTAAAGGGATTTCAGGTTGTCAATCCCTTCGTACATCTCACTAGAGATACGTACGCGCCACCACGGGCTAGTAAGGAGGTAAGCCTCCTTAGGTGCTCGTGCAGAGTTGTTCACACAACATGGGCACGAGTCTCCCCAGGAAAGGCAGGGTACCCCTTTCTCCCTAGACAGACGATGCAGCTTATAGCGTGCACCTGTCGGGATTCGCTTTTCAAACTTATCACGAGCTTTGATAAGTTTGTCGTTCCAAACGTCACGACCTACATCCTCAAGGTTGTGGATGTAGGCGTTCCACGCTTGAAGCAGCGAGGGACCATCACGCTTGTGATTTCCACTGTACCATCAATGCTTAAAGAAAGCATCGATGAAGAATTTATTCTCAGTGCGATAGTTTTTCGCACTGGGGTCAAGGTGATGGATCCTTGACGAATCGAACAACCGTGTTCGATAACGATCACTCGTCGTCGCCGACAAGTGATCCATGACGGATTTTGGAGGAATCCATGCCTTCTTTTCGGGAGCGAGACGCAACACATTGCGGTCCTGCTCTTCCTGCGACGTGCCGACAGAAGTACTGGCACCTCGCTGCGAAGTGGTGTCAGTAGGAGAATCGACACCACTGTTAGCGCCCGAGTCTCGCGACCTCGAGCGCCTTCGCTTCGGCGATGGTTCATCTGATTCATCAGATGAACCAAAGATGCTACGATGCATAGCATCGTCCATGCCACGCTTGGCAGGTGGCTTGGATTCGATCGCCGTCGATACGGATCCGTCTTCCGTATCAGGAGAGTACGAGATACCGAGCTCATACTCTGTGAAGACATGAGTGTCTTCATGACCAGCGCCTGCATCACCAAGTGACACAGGCTGAGTCGCTCCAGCAACCGATGAGACATCAGTTGCTGTGGTTTCTGCTTCGGCGTCCGCACAGAGACGTGCAGACGCGCTCTCGGCGGCCTTGCTCGCGCATCGCATGGACTTGTTTACCATGCGATGAGATGTTGGAAAGTGGACGCGGACCAACAAGTGCAAACCCTGTCCCAAATGATTTGGGACGAGTATCCATTTAGTCAATCAGTCACTAAAGTGACTGATGGTTAGGGGGGGTGATGTAACGTGGTGAATCGTTACATAATAATTTATAAGATATTGTTTATAGAATATAACTATAAGAGTTATATTCTCAGAATATTGTCATAAGGACAATATTCTACAGCACTTACGAGTTGTTCCTAATTGGTTGATATAGGCCATTGCATCAACCAACGAAGACGCGCCACGACAGACGCACGCAATGAGTGGTGAGCTGATAACTGATTTACACATTTGTATTCAGACATAGTTAGATGAGGATGAATAGTGATTTATTAACAGACATTAACTATTATAAATACAGTTCTACTTTTTACTTAAACCAAGTACTCGCTTCTTCTTACCGTCTTCCTCTGCACGTACGAGTGTACGTGAAGTTACGAGGCACCGCCTTATTCTGTCAGTAGAATAAGTAGCTTGTACTGTCACCAGTACAAGCTTCAGGGTGCCCCGTTACAAGAACTCTCTTTAATATAGTTAAACTATCAATACAACTTCAATCTTTTTCTAACTATATTAAACTAAGCCGTCGTTTGACGACAACCTGCTCACCACTCATTGCGCGCGTCTAGCAGCGATTGGTGGTAATCCATGGTTGGTATGTCTTGTATCAACCAATCTTGAAGCAGCGATGAATGTTATCCAAAAGGGGAATAATATTCCTTCAATATTACCCATCCCGGATAATATCGGTTGAATATTGTCATGCTAGACAATATTCCAATTGACACCGTTTGGTGTCAATATCATGTAACGGGCTACCCCGTTACACAGGGTCCATCGCCGCGGTCGCACGGGCCCAACCGTGCGCGTCCTTTGAATGAATTAATTTGGATTTAAGGTCGAGAGGTGGCGCGCTGGGTCGTTCTTTCAAGTCAGATAGTGGGACGCAATGCTTGGGATGTGGGAAGGCGAGTTGACGTGCAATAGTGCGGAACGGAGGTCGATCGTCAAACGATAAGATTCAATAGGGAATACACGCTTGCGGTGTAGCCAGTAATACATGAGATGACACTGGCTGTATTCAGAAAGATTTTATGTCGAAACATAATCGATTTCAGAACATGTTTGGAATGCTGAAGGATGGTATGTAGATCAGGAAACAAAAACCCTGGTCGGCTTCCCAATCGTTGAAGCTTCAGAAGCAGTCGTTACGATGAACGATGACGACCACATACTCGGTGCTGCACTGTCTGCGTCCACGTATTCATTACCCTCTTTCCGCACAATCGACAACGCCGCTGAGTCAACATTAAGTCAACTAAGTACCACCTGACGGCATCAAATCGTGTTGACTTGACTGTGGCTACTTCAACCAGGCCTCAGCAATCTCGTGAAAGCGCTGACGTAGCAGCATGTGATCCTCCTGCTCAGGAGAAAAGCGCACACCCGTCTCATCGTACAAACACTCTAACAACTGACCACGCATCGTCAATTTAGCTGGATATTTCTGGTATGGCCGCGCCTGAGTATAATACACGGGCTTTTTCTTGGGATCATACACCAGAATGTCATCGCTGTTGAGGTACAGCACGCTAACATTAGCAGCGAGCCTTTTGTCCTTCGGTTTTACGGGGTAATAATGCGTGGCGGAGCCGCAGAGCACCGACTTGCCGGGGCCATAGTCACGCAAGTCCCAACCTGCGCCTCCTGTTCCAAAATCAGAAAACGCATACTGCGTCTCAGCGAGCTCGGCGGCCGCATAAAACAGCTCCTTATCCCCGTAAGAAGGTGGTCGGCCGATGCGATTCACCGCTACGAATGCTCCCAGGATTGCTGTTGCTCGTGGCTGCCGCTTCTTGTTCCATAGTACCAACGACGAGTCCATCTCGTGGCCAGCGCGGTAGTTCCACGAATGACTCGTCAGCAGGTGCTCGCTCGGTGAGAATTTAAGCTTCACTGGCACCCTGTTCTTGCTTGTAGCCCTTGGCCGCTCGATGTAACCCAACGGCTCAAACGGCGACACGTCAAATCGCGACATGAAGTCATGTATTTCCCGCACATCACCTTTGCCACCATCGAGAATTTTACCCAAGTGCTTTGTATCAGAAATAAAACGATCATAAAAGAATAGCGTGCCCGTACTCAGGTACTTGTCCGTGTCCCAAAGCGACATGGGGCTCTCGAAAAACAACGTGTCGGCATCCAGCAGCATAACTTCTTCAAACCGCGATAAAATCATAGCCAGTATCTTAATGTCAAAGCTTCGAAATAACTCATAGCAGTTGCTCAGACTCTCACAAAAGACCTTCACGGACGCATCCCGCAAGCTGACGGTCTTTGACGCGAGTTCACATACGTCATAGAAGTGCAGCACACCAACTTCTTCTTGTTCCAGAACCGTGCGGATCGTCGAGTCTTTTAAATCTCCACAATACGGTATTTCGATTGGCAAATGCACATCCATCGCTCGTAGCTCCAAGATCAAAGACACGCCCAGTGTCGCAATGTCGTCGTACAATGGCAGCACAATACCACGCTTGTCGATTGTCCGCTGCGCCGTCTCGTGGATTGTGTATATCAGCTGCTTCTCCATGCGCTTCTCGTCGTGGGTCGAGAACAAGTCCCTTCTTGCAGGAGATGGTGGTCTGTAGCTACTATCATGGACCTCTTCATCGCCTTCAGGTACGCTAATGCTACGCCCCATAATCTGATTAATGCCTAACAAATTGGCCATCATCACGAGCATCCAGAGGCCGCAGAGCACTAGCAAAAGCACACATGACCGCAATCTTGAAGGACACGAATCACGTAAAATGTTGGGGCGAGAGTAGTGGTCGCTTCGAGCAACCTGTAGAAGCGCCATTGATTTCTCAGAGAACGTCTGTCGCTGCATTGTTGGATCAGTTCTTGTCGCATTAGTCTGTGTATGCGGTGTTACCGTCAAGTTTGGACCACAGCGAGAGGGGGGAGTTTGAGCTAAGGAAAAGTAATTCTCTTTAACAAACAGAGGCAAATAAAAACCACAAGATGAGAACATAATTAAATATCCAAAATAATCACAAAATGTAAAGGAAACTGGTAAATTAACTTCCTTTTTTAGGAAATTTATGAAACAAACCCACCCATTAATACGTCCGCAGCCAGTGAAACTGTATAAAATAATCATCGGCTTCGTGCTTAGCAGTACTTAATGTCAGTTTCATAAGAAACAAAATTACACAATTTTAAGTGAAAACACCGCGGTGATCCCGACCATATGTAACGTGGTCGCACAAACAGTCATGACTGCCAGGTGCTTGTGTGGTAAACACAGCAAGAGATCAGGGTCACTGATACCCTTCCTATTGTATCACATACGCTAAGCGGTAATACCGTACCTTATCAATAACGGATAGATGGTGTCTATCGTAATAGAGTCTTTAAAAGAAAGGCGTTGCTCTGGTGTAGCAACACCAGAAGAACCTTCATGAAGACTACTCAATTAAGAAGCATAGTTTTAGTTTAAACACGCACGTGAGGTCTATTATCGCTAAAAGTAGTAAATGTGTTCAGTTCCCATTTTACTCAGTTTCTAACACGTCTCTTTTTTTTACGACGTCTCTGGTCGTAAAGAAAAAGTGTAACGGGGTGAATCTTTACATAACAATTTATTAGAAATTGTTAATAGATTATAACTATAAGGGTTCTATTCACAGAATATTGTCATAAGGACGAATATTCTGCAGCACTTACGAGTAGTTCCTAATTGGTTGATATAGACCATTATATCAACCAACGAAGACGCACCACGACAGACGCACGCGATGAGTGGTGAGCAGATAGTTGACATACACATTTGTATTTAGACATAGTTAGATGAGGGTAAATAGTGATTTATTGACGGACATTAACTATTATAAATACAGTTCTACTTTTTACTTTAACGAAGTACTCGCTTCTTCTTACCATCTTCCTCTGCACATACCAGTGTACGTGAAGTTTTGAGGCACCGCCTTATTCTGTCATCAGATATAAGTAGCTTTGTACTGTCATAGCTTTACAAGCTTCAGGGTGCCTCCGTTGCACCTGGTAGCACTTCGTAGTCCGCTCCTAGGACCACGTTCACATCTAACATGACTACGTTAGATGATGATGATGACCAAAGCTTTCATGCTACGCGTGACGGCTACTGCCATTTCAGCAATGTCGAATGGGATGCGGTTGAACGGATGGGTTCAACCATGGGCATCCATGCTGTTTGCGTCATGCTAGAGGCTCTCAATAGAGATGCCCAACATGCTACTATCGCCAAGTTCATTCAAAATGAACTTGACGTTGAACGCGAGAAAGTAGCCTTGCTTCACCAACAAGGTTCTCAACAAGCAGAGTTGTTGAGAGAATAGGGTGCTCAACAGTTTGAACTGTTGAGACAGCAGCAGGCTGCTGCTGGTGGGACGATGCACACGCGTCGACCCGAAACCTTGAAGATTGACATCTCCAAGTATAGGGGAGTCGAAGAGGACTCCCTCTTGAGATGGTTTGTCGAATCGGATGACGCCATAAGGGCGCGTCGCATCGACGACGGGGATATGCAAGCTGCATTTGCCCAGTCAAATCTGGCAGGACGTGCCAAGACTTGGGCACTGGGGCTCAAGTTGCACGACCCATATGCGTTTGGGTCGTTGGAAGTCTTCAAGTCGCGGCTCAGACAAACGTTTGAACCGCCTAGAGCTGAGTTCAGAGCTCGAACCGAACTCTTGAAGCTCAAGCAGGGTAAGCGTAATGTGCACGCTTACGCGCAACACATACGACATCTTACGAGTTGTATAAGTTCCAACCCGGTGGATGAACACACGTTGGTTTCGGTGTTCATGCAGGGTCTTGCGGATGGTCCCGTCAAGACTCACCTGTTCCGACTTGAACTAGATTCACTAGAACAAGCCATTTCCATTGCGGAGCAGGAAGACTTCAGTCTGAGACAGGCTCGCGCCAGCTCGACATCATATCGTCAACCGAGACGATATGACAGCGGAGGTCCAGAGCCGATGGAACTCTGTTATGTAGAGAGCGAGAAGGCTCGCTCTACAGACTACAAGAAGTTGCAGAGATGCAACAGATGTCAAAAGACAGGACACTACGCTTACGAGTGTAGTGCCCCTCGTCTATTGTGCCGCACACTGGGCGTAGTGACCGTCCACCCATGAGAAAGGGGCAGGGACGAGGGTCCGCAGTTGGTGCAAAGACGCAACAACGGGATGGACCGTCAAAAAACGGACAGGATCAGTAGGTGCGGAGCACCCTACTGATCCAGCAACGTCAAGAGAATTTGTAGGCCTCTTGATGAAGGTTGCTCCCAACACACAAATGTTGTGCGTTGCTGCTCTAGGTAATGAGGTCTCACTCATTACCTTGAAACTCGAAGTGACAAATAAGTTGTCCCTTCGAGCTCTAGTCGATTGTGGGGCGTCCAACAATTTTGTGCGACGCCAATCGCTAGAAGATGTTCACTTCAAGTTCCGTGAATGTGACACACCTCCTACGAGGATGACGGTACGTCTTGCGACAGGCGCATCCGTAACCGTCATGAAGCGTATAGTGAAGATCCACTGTACGCTAGAAGATACCCAATATGACGATGACTTTATCGTATTGGATTTGGCTGACAAATTTGAAGTCATCCTTGGAATACCGTGGCTCAGAAGGTACGAACCACGAGTAAACTGGCAACATCGGACAGTAACGATGTCTGCCGCTTGTTCATCAGATGGCCATCTGATGAACGTTTTGGAGCGTCCACAAGCGTGTGGATGTACTACGAGTGAGTGCGATGGCCTCACTTGTGGTACGGTCGTTAGTACGACTGCACAAAACCTTAGTGTAACAAACGGTTACACTTCGGAGCAAAGTTCCGGCGGCTGTGAGGAAACACAGGCTGCGCCGAAGGTCTACCACTCGAATGAGTCGGGTGGACTGGGACAAAGATGTATCCCTAGCGGGGAACATCTAGAAGAGAAAGAATCGATCGCTCAGGTTAAGCGTAACGATTATCCTAGATCGACTGGAGAGTCTTTCGTAGAGGATCTCGCTGTGGTTGCGCAACCCCAGCTAGAGGAAGTAAAGGAAATAAGTACCGATATTACAAATACGGCGGAAATAAGTTCCCCGAAACCCGCGGGAGTAAGTCCCCGGGAAGCCAAAGGAATAAGTCCTTCGAGGCCTGAGGTAATAAGTCCCCAGGAAATGGCAGAGACATTAAATGTCATAGTCAATGATGTATCAAGTGTAGGCGCTTATACACTTGATCTGATTGCGCCTCCGAAGTTGACTTCGGAGATCACTCAATTGCCAACGCTCGAACATAATAGGTTCTTGCGTGATCTGCGTAGTGGCAAAGTCAAGCAGATCTGCGTATTCATCGCTGACGACGAGTGTGTAGCCGACATAAGGTCAGCAACAGTGTTCACTGAGAACGAGAGAGTTCTCAGTAGCTCATCTATGGACGAGAGCGTCCTCGATAAAAAGACACGAGTTGAGCAATATGACTCCCAATCGTGGGAATCGCTCAAGACAAATCCTCTCTATGAAGATTTGGTTGAATTCAAGGATGTATTCCCTGAAACTGTTCCGTGCGAATTACCAAAGGATAAAGGTATTCGACACGAGGTCGAGCTTAAACCAGGCTCGAAGTACTGTGTCATGGAGCAGTGGCCACTGCCTCGTGAACAAGTACTTGCGATCGACAAGTTCTTTGCCGATCGTTTAGCTGCGGGCCATGTGAGGGAATCAACTTCCCCACATAGCTCTCCGACCTTCTGTGTGCGAAAAGGAACAGGAGGGTGGCGGATAGTGCACGCGTTCAACAAATTGAATGCTGCAACGGTACCGGCACAGACGCCGATACCGAGGAAGGACGTTATCATTGATGTTATGTCAAAGAGTACCATCTTTTCGTCCATGGATTTGATAGATGGCTTCTATCAAATCCTTATGCGAGAACGGGATATACCCTATACCGCAGTTAGCACGCCTAGCGGCATGCTCTGGGAGTGGCTAGTAATCCCACAAGGGCTTAGTAATGCCCCTGCCACGTTCAACAGATGTGTATCACATCTGTTGAGACCAGTACGAGAATTCGCGCCGAGTTATTTGGATGGCGTATTCATCCATAGTCGAGCTATGGATGGAAAGTCGGACAGTGAGGTTCACAGATACCACGTCCGACAGGTTCTTACAATCATGCGAAAGCATCAATTGTATGCTAACCTCAAGAAGTGTATATTTGCAGCAAGCAAAATACCACTTCTTGGGTGCATCGTTGGTAAGAACGGTGTACGTCCTGATCCCGAAAAGATCAAGGCGATCACCGACTTGACTATGCCGGTTGATGTCAAAGGTCTTCGAAAATTCCTTGGGCTAGCGGCGTATTTGCATAAGTATTCACGCAATTACGCCGAGATGACTGTACACCTCTCTCGTTTGTTGAAAAAGGACGAGAGGTGGTTATGGAACGCTGAATGCCAGCGCTCCTTTGAGGGTATGAAGAAGAGCTTGATACAATCCCCAGTCCTAGCAATTGCCGATCAAGACAGGCCATTTCATGTGGTCTGTGATGCCAGCGATTTCGCAATCGGCTGTGCATTAATGCAGTACGACCTAGAAGGCGTTGAACGCGTCGTCTGCTATCAGTCGCGTCAGCTGCAACCAGCTGAGCGGAACTATCCAGTGCATGACAAGGAACTCTTTGCCATGAAGTATGCACTCGCGAAGTTCAGAGTCTATCTATTAGGAGATAGACCCTTCGTTGTTTACACTGACCGTGCGTCATTGCGCAAGGCAGTCAACAGCCCGCACCTTTCACAACGAATGGCGCGGTGGTTGTCATTCTTTGCAGAATACAACTTTACGGTCGAGTAC